AACTCCATAACACAATAAACACATTTCACATACACTAGGCCTTAAAAAAACATGAGCAAGCAAACAGCAAAATCAACAAAAAGTTGTATCAAAAAGAGGCTGGAAATCCCCGACCCCATTTTCACATGGAAACCGCTGGTGCTGATAACTGCAAATGTGTTACTGGAAAACACCAACAGCAGATTTTCTTTCTGCTGTGGCTTAAGAGCAGTAAAATACAGCATGGACTTAACTTTACATGAGGGCTTAACCAAAATCCTACTGAACAGCAGCGGGGACTTAAAAAGGATTTACTCTGGTGCTTTTAGGTGTGCTGAGGAGGAAGTTTGCTGCTTCCCCAGCTCCCAGGGATGGGGACAGACTGTAGAGCCAACAGCTGTGTTGGAGGCAACTGGCTTGAGAATTCAATCCATTGCATTGGGTGGGACACTTTGAAAATGGATGGAGGGATTTGGAAACACAAGTCTGGGATGCCAGCTCCTCAGGAGATTTATTTTTAGATGTTGATTTGCTGTCCTAACTCCTAGAGTTTATCTGGGGAGCCAGCTCTGTAAGCTTTTCCCAAAGTCTAAAAGTTTACTGTTTACACAGCACAGACAAATAAATACCACTGTCACACTGACACATTATTGTCTGCTTCTAATATGTCAGACTCGACACATAACAAAAGGTTATTGTGGCAATATAAATTATAATCTTGCTCCTCTTTATTGCTTTAAATCTTTGACCCTTCAAACATTTAATTTGGGGTTTCTTTTTAAACTTCCTTACTTTATTTCTCGAGGCAGAAACTCATCCTTTTTAGGCAGAATATGAAAGAAGAGGGGGTAGATATGTAGTTAAAGACTGTGTAAGTAACAAGTCTCTTCAAGGGACTGGCATGCTCAGAGAATTATCTGCGTCATCTTGGGCATGTCCCAAATGCCTCTAATCATCCCAAGGACATACTTTAGTCTGTTTATGGTGGCCATGACACCATCATGACCCCCCCAGAACAAACAGTGCTGCTTCAAGAAAACACTCCATTACAGCTCTGAGCAGAAGTGTAAAGGCAAAGGAAAGTGCTGAGACCAGATATAAAGAGGCATATTTGTTTTTGTGGTACAGAAAATGAAGGAAGGAAACTCCAGATGAGGATCTGCATAAAAAAAAAACAGCTGGGTGATCCCAAACCCCAAATTGGATATAAAAAAATGTAATATATAACATGGGTTTAGTGAGGTGGTGTGCAATGAGGTCAGCCAAGAAATGCTGAGTGTGTCAAGCTGAAACTCACAGATGGAAAGTGGAACTGCCCTAGGGTAGGGGTAGAATTCTAGGGGTAACATTCCAGGTCTCCCAAAGGCTAGAAAGAGACAAGAAAGGAGAGGAGGCAGATGTTGAGGGGCTGATCTGAAGTGTGAGACCCAGGTAAGGTCCATCCTGCAAGAGGCAGACACACAAAGTGTGCAGATTGTGGATGAAAGGAGCACTTGGATGACGAGAGCAGGACCACTCCATGTGGAGCTCTGGCTGCTAATGATGGGCTACCTGGGCAAAGGACAAAGAAGAGGATTAATTAATTTCCTCAAGCACTTGTGACTTTGAAGGAAAACAGTTTACCAAGGAAATTGGAAAGTTGATGGAAGGAAGAAGACAACAACTGAAAGACAGAGATCAGAAACCCTGAAATTCCATCTGCAGAAGATAACCATATTGGACTCTGTCATTCCAAAGGGCAAAAATACAGAGCCACAAAGAAAGGATAAATAGTGCAACGGAAGCAACTGGAAAAGAAAACAGATGAATAACACAGTTTGTTCCTCCTGGAAGATGTGTCACTGACCTCAGCACAAAGGCAAAATGACTAAAATGTGACATGCTCACTAAATTCAAGCCAGCCTACATGACCTCACGTTTAACATGAAACAATAACTGAAATTTAGAGGCAGGGAAAGCCAAATTAAATAAAGATATTTAAAAATTACAGTGACAATCATCCCATTTAAACAAGCTATTAAAGGAAACAGTAAAAAAACACCCATCACTTGACATTTTAACATAAACACTAGAAATTTTTCTGAAAGATTTACTGAATTCAAAATATGGTATCAGGTTTAAGGAAGACTCATATCACATATCACACTTAACAGCTTTACTAAGTGGTCAGACAAATGATCTAATACTACACTCTGCCCTTAAAACTAATGACTTTTGTTTTTTTTCTTTTCTTCAATTTACAAAATAGTACGGTTGGAGTGAACTTTATAAAGGAAATATTGGTATTGCTGCCTTCTTCAAACAGAACAACCAACACAATGTATCCATTGAAACAAGAGGAGAAAACTCTTCAGTCTGAGACAAGGAGCAAGCTCAGAACAGAGAGATGCAGCAATCGTGGTCATTTGGAAAGCCAGCCTTGATCATCTGAGGTGGAAACCGAACAAGAAAATAAGGCATTTTCTCAAAAAACCCCCAAAACCGTGTAATAAGGGAAAAAACCTTGAGGCTTGTTAAAAACTAAGTGTTTTATCCTGAATGGAAAAAAAGCCTCTAGTTGTTGCTTTGGTTGCAACCTTGTACAACCTTTAAACAACGTTCTCACACTCTGGATTATAAAAACAAAGTTAAATATATTAAAAAAAAACAAAAAACAACCAAACAAACCCAACACAAAACAAAAACCCCAACCCAAGTTGCAGAGACTTCAGGACCGATTCCCAGGACCTCCCTGTTGACAGAGAACTTTTCCTAACCCCATTTAAACTGCCATGTACCAGCATTTCTTTAACGTTTCTCCTTCCTCTACAGAATTTGTTACCTACAGCCATTTCCACAGCTCAGCCTTTACTTTTAAGCTGAAAACATCAAGGTGCTCCGATTTCCTCTCCTGTAAGTCCTGCACACCATCAGTGAATTTGAGAGCCCGTCTCTCCTATGACTTCAGTTCCAGCTCAGTCTTTTGAAAATACCTGACCCAAAATTACTCAGCAAATGCACAGGTCATGTGTAACATCTCTGATCCATTCTCAGACCTACCAAAACCACTGTGCCAGACCAATCTGCCACCACACTGCTCCTTCCCACAGCACCAATCCACCACTCCTACCCTGGGTCCTTTTTCTGCAAAATTTTTGTTTGATTTGCAACCCCCTGACATTGCATCTGCACAACTGGCAACTTTCTGCCCGTTCCTGGACAGCACCAAATTCTTGTGCAGCCCCGGAGCTTCCTACCACCCTGCTATTGCCAGCAGCCTTTGAGCCAGCAGCATTTTTGTCATTTTTCTCATTCTTTGTCAAGATCCACAATTCAAATAATACCACCAAAAAAAAAAAATTGTGTTCAAGGCAGGTACTTCGATCAAACTCCTCTTTCAACACTGCCTGAGGTCAACTGTAGCCTCTGCTGCCATCACCTTCTCCAGTCTGTATTTTTCCACTAACTGCATCTTCTGCTGTCTTATTCAGCACATCCTTCACCAGAGGAAAATCTCATCACATTTCCACTACCCAACAAAAGCAGTCAGAAAAGAGAGAAGGTTACTCTGGCTTAACAGCCTTTTGTTTATTATGGCCCACTTTTCCAATCACTCATTTACCCCCAAGTTTGGCTTTTCATTGCTTTTAACTCAGATTTTCAGACCATAGCCCAAATCAGTGTCCATCAGTCTTGTCCCTGCCTAGATGACTCTTCCTTTCTGAAGCAGGAAACTGGAATACTGTGCTTCTGTCACACCAAGAGATAACCTCAAACACCAACATAACAACACTGAATACAGTGCATTTCAGGCTCAAATCCTGAAAAAGTTTGTGCCTGAGCAAGCATGGACAACAGCTCAAATGCTTCTGAACTGAGGTGCACACAATAAACACCATTTCTAGTTCAATTATCAATCCACTAGAAACAAAATGTACTTACATAAGCCATGTCCAAACGATGCAAGGAACCCTCTTGTTTTTTCCCTGGGAAATGGGGCTGCAAATGTGGCTGTCAGCAATTCTTGGCAGCCAGATGTTAAATGTTTGTTTTACATATGTTAAAGAAGCAACTTCAGCCTGACAAAGCAGCATCTTAAAATATGAATTACCTAAGAAATCAGAAATCCCGCTTCAACAGCAGGAGACTGCATTTGGTGTTTTCAAAGTTTTTGGCCTCAAAGCTCTTGCAGTGTCTTTGCTGGGATAACTTGCAGCTTTAGGGCTGTTTTCTGTTTCCTTTCACAGAAGGAACAGAAACAGTTTTTACCAGCAAATAAATTGCAATGGATGACATTTTTTGCTCTCAATGTTCAAGGCAAAAAACTTCCTCTCTTCCATACAGACAAAATTTCACTGTACACAGTGCTCCCTGCATACAGACACGCAAATTTCTGGGTTTTGTGATTCGCAGCCTCTTACCCTTTCCCAAACTGAGGTGAGGCTGCTCTGGAGACTTCCAGGAACAGGGGCCAGAATTTCTCACAGATGCCATAAAACCAGCTCACCAACCTTAGGTGGGTGCACTGTTCAGACTAATAGTGAATAAAGAGACAACAGACCACCAAGGAGGTTCGGGTTCACTTTTCCACACCGTGGATTTCCCTCCTGAAGCAGATAAAACTTTTGTCTTTTTTTGTTAAAGTCGCAAGGATGAAGGACATCTTACCCAGGAGCACAGGAAATGTCAGAACAGCATCCAGCTGGAATCTAACCTGCCTTGAACACACTTCTGCCTGTGCCCAAAGAAACAAACTCCCTCAATACAGCAAATACAATTACATCCTTCTGCACCCTTCCATCATCACAAAAGCAAATAAAACAATGGACACTTCTCATGTTGGACTTCGGCAAAAGACATTTATTATTATTATTATTACTGTTGTTGTTGTGTTGCTGTTGTACCTCCTCTGCTCTGCCCACAGTGGTGGCATAAATGCTGTTACCACATTGTAGCTGATGATGCCGGTGTACAAATCAAAATCCATCTTAATTTCAAACTCCATTAGAAACACAGGAAAAAAGATCAACATTTACGAAATGTAAAGGGAAAAATGGTACGGAAAGAATTTTTTTTTATTTTTCAAGCTTCCAAGACAGTATTACAAACAACAGAGAGCAAAGTAAAGCTAGAAATGAAATACTTGACAGCATCTGTTTAAAAATTACAGCTAAGAAACCTAATAAAAGTTGAATAAACAGTTACTAGAAATAAAAATTTTTACACATATGATATTTGTCTGGGATTTTTATTTCTTTAAAATAATTCATACAAATGGTTACAGTCACAAACATGATTTTAACCAAAAATATTGCTAGCCTACCACATTACCAGGAAGGAATCAATGTAGGCAATGAAATGCTGCTACTTTTCAGTAGTCTAGTGCCTTTTCCAGATACCACCAATAATATATACTTTAACTGGTGACAAAAAGCACAATGCTCGTTTATACAAAACCTTAATTTTTTCCTCAAAATCTCTTTGCAAGGTTGTCTTCATTTTGAAATAAGGGAATTCATGCCAAAATTAGGAGAAACTGTTTTTCTTTTGTTTACTAAATTATTCTAAAAAATAAGACAAGCAGGTAGAAAAAACAATGCACTGTGTGGCGTAGAAAGAAAAATGGGAAAAATTCATTGTCCTGAGAAGTTTGCCAACTGCCTCATTTTTGGGCATGTTTGAAAATATAAAAGAAAGGATTTTTAATCTCAAAACTGGTTTGTTGAATGCCTCCCTTATGTTTTTCCTTGTTCACAGCTAAGCAAACAAACCCTTTTTAATGTTCTAGAAACTGTACACAGACAAGTACATTCATGATATAATTAACTACTAACTTCTCTTGCTTAACAAAGAACCCATAGGACACAGAAACAGTGAATCAGTCCACTGGACAGGGACAAACTACAATTTATACGGAGGAAAAAATGTTTCCAAATCTTCTTTTTGTCTCCCACCTTTTCCTTTTATACTGTATCTTGGACCAGTTTCTAAACCAATAATCGTCTCCTCCTGTAAGTTCATGGTTTTGCCTTTAATCAAAATCCAGGGTTTTGCTTTGTGTTGTGTTGTTTTCCACGCGCTGCGGTTGGAGTCTCCGATGTTGGGAATGCTGTTGTTGGCTACAATTGGTCGCTCGGGTGGTCTCTATCAGCTTCTGGTTTGACAGTTTGGCCGGGGGAAGGAGCATGGGGCGGGTGGGCTACAGCAGGGAGGCCGTGTGATAGAGACATGGGGTTGGGGACTATTCCTTCTACTGCTGCAGGTATGCCAGTGGAAGCCACGCTTACAACGCCTGGGGGATACCTGCTGGGAGGAGAAAACCAGAGCAGACATTAAAACCAGGAGCTGACTGAGCAGAGAGCCCACCCTGCCTCCTTCCCGAGCTACAGAGACGCTTCTTTGGCTTTCAGACCAGTTGGAGAGTCAGGGAGTTCAGCTCCAGGTGAGATGCCACATGCAGATACTGCTACATAAAGCAAGAGATGCTGTATTTTAACCAAGTGAGATATCAAAGTTTGCCAGATTGTTTCCTCAGATTTAATAGCAAAGGAAACCACCTTCAAGTTTTGCTCCTCTCAAAGCATAACCTCAACAAGAAGTAATTTGTGGTTACAGCACTGCAAAGAGAGAGAAAGGACAGCAACACACACGGAGCTCTGTGGGGAAAAAAGGCCAAATTTATTGTACAGACAGCCCATATTTAAAGTGTGTTATGTGCAGCTAGGACAGGACAGGAGCTCATTTGATAATTGGGAAAAACATCCTTGGGACAGCACCTCAGGATGTATCCCACGGGAAAGACACCAGGTGTTAATCTTTATTATGAATTCCACTCTGTTTTTCACCATATTATTACCCTGGGAGACTCCTCCCTAACTGAAGCTGCAGTCAGCTTGTCAGCCTGGGAATGGAGCTGAGAGTCAGGAGAAATCCAGGCCTGAAAAGAATTTCCAAGCTGTAATTCCCCAGCTCCCTAAATGTGTGTGTCCACAGTAATTCCAGCTGGGTCCATGCAATATGTTCTCTACAAGTTTTCTTTTTATTTTTTTCCTCTTTCATTCTCATGTAGAAATTTTAAATTCACACTGATGTGGTTTTAAAAATATATTTCTTTACACTATTTTTGCAGTCTTAGCTTCCTGATAGCTCCTCCCAAAAAGCCACCACACCCACACACTAGTACGATGACAAACTCAAGCCTATTGCACCTGAGTAACTTTTTCAGCAGCAAACTTGCCACTGCACTTGTCTGAAGGAGAACCAGTTACAGTGGGCAAGTGCTTTAGGCAGATTGCAAGAAAAAGAAATGCAAACACAGAATTTATGGATTATTTTAAAGATTTCTTACTCTATCTGGACAAACACTGAGGCCTAAATATTTTATGCATTCAACAAAAGAAACATCCTCTTATTCAGCTTGATTTTATGATTGCTCTGATGCTACCAGACTAAAAATATCTTGCAAATTTGCTGTTCCAATCACAAACTTCAGATGTAATTGATCAACACTGGTATTTCACAGTACTGTATAAAAACAACAGCAACACATGGATTTAATAAAAATATATTTTCTTTTTAGTCAAATACCTCAATACCTGTTTTCAAGTTATGTCACTCTGGCCACTTACGACTGATCCTTTGCCTCCCTTCCTCATCATGAAGTTGCACACTCATCCCTCATTTCCCTCACACTCTCCTGCTGCACTCTGCCCACCCAAACATCCTGGTGAGAGCATTACCCATTTGAGAGCCTGAACACACAGAACTACCACTCACTGCAGCTTTTGTTACCCAGGTATTAACCCAGAACCACGTGGGACAAAAGGCACTTGTCAAGCTTTTTTCAAGTATTACATTATTCTGCTGTTGATTTTCTCCTCATCAGAGCTCAATGCATCAGGGAATTTCACCCCATTTCTGCATCCTTTCCATGATAACATGTATTTGTGTTGCTCATCCCAAGTTCCCTCAAACTGGTAAAAATTAGAGCAGAACTTAGGCGAGACTCAGGAGGAAAAAGCTGGATGCAAGCACACTGACTTGGTTTTTTTGCTTCCACCACAGAAACATCATGGGAACTGCTTTTGGAAACACGGTGCCAGAGGGGCTCAGCAGGACTGACATGGCACAGGGACAACAGGGACACCACACACTGGTCTGGTCATCCTGGGAAAGACTGCTGCACACCATAACACTGACTGTAACCTGGGATGGGTAATGAGGCTGTGACTGATCACACCACCTGTAGGCCAGATAACTTTGTTCCCAATTGTACACATATTTACAGGGCTTCCTATGCTAATTCCCTCTCCATGGAGGTTCCTTGGAATTAATTTGCAGTTGCTAATGGAATTAGTTGCTTGTTTCAGTAACTCTATTTGAATCTTATTAATCAAATTTGCTTCAACTCCTATGAAAACTGTCACACAGTATTGTTTTACCTAAATTTAATTTTGAAACAGCTTTTCTGTTATTCTAGGTGCTTTGCAAGACACACAACATGACACAAATTTCCATTTAAAAGTCCAACACTGCAGCTGTTCTCAACACACATCTCTACTTTCTAACAGCATATTCTCTGAGTATCAACACACCAGAGTGGGAAAAAAAGTCAAGGAGAGAGAAACTTCTGCAATTGTTTTCCTCAGGAAGAAAAGCCTGAGCCTCCCCTTGTGAAGGTGGACAGTGCTGAACCAGGAGCACTAAGAGTCACCTCATGAGCACATGAAACATTTCAAACTGCACAGTTGTAATTCTACTCTGACTCCAAATATTCCTTATGTATATAGACAGTCCCTTGCACACCAAGTCACAACCACCAGGATTTCACCTGCCAGCACCTCACCTCAGGTACGAGTTTCCTACAGACTTTTACTAACATCCAGAGGCCTTAAAATTGCTTTTCTTCTCCTAAAACTTCACGATGGCAGCAGTCAATATACAGATACCATAGTGTTCCACAGAAACTGCAATTTACTTGACAACTCCTAACCTTTCTTTGCAATCCTCTTTTTATAATTTTTGTCCCTTTTTAATTTAATCATCAGTGTTGGTCAAATCCTGTCTCTGAAAGGACACACACAAGTCTACCCATGAGCATATGTATTCTATATAACTTTCCCTTTTGCTGCTATTTATTGCTTTTCTAGTCTATTTTTTTTCTATTCTTAACCAGCAAAAACATCCTCTCCAGCACTTCATAAAGTTCCCTTCTATGTTTCTCCTCTGGCAGCAGTAAGTTGAAATGTTTTCCAGGTCAAATGTCCACTGAACTAAATTTTTGTGAAAGCAGAAGTGAGCAATCAGTTATACCTCTTCTGTTAATTCATACTCTTCCATCCCTTTCTCCACATAGTCTTAATTTAGGAGGAAAAGCAGAGTTGCCCTCTTAATTACAGCAGATGGGCAACTTTCAGTTTCTCTTGTGCTCTCATCTTCTTTTAAACTGCAGAAGCACCTTGAACTCACTATGTTAAGCTCTGTTCAAGAAACTGAGTCTGTCCTAGAAGAGGTTGAATTTTTAAGTGCACTCTGTTATCATGCACTGAGTCTGAAAATCACCAGTGAAGTACCTCAACATGAAATACCTCCTGAATTACCAATATCCAGCTACTATTCTCATCCAAGTTAGGTATTCACAGAATCATGGAATAGTTTGGGTTGGAAGGGACCTTAAAGATCACCTTGTTCCAACTCCCTGCCATGGGCAGGAACACCTTCCACTGGACCAGGTTGCTCAGAGCCTTTATCCAGCCTTATCCTCTAGCTGTTAGGAGGCAGGAAGATGTGTGGAAATGTCTATAAATGGTACAGTCACTGTTACTGGGTGTTGAATTTTTCTGTGCCTATGGCCTGCCTGCTCTGTGACACAGGAAATGGCAGGGGGTTATTTCACAGGCAGCTCAGTAACAAATACACAGTGATAACACAAGATCAGGGTATGTTATTCTACTTTACCAAGACCACTACAGATAATTCCTTCTCAGCAGTATTGTTGATCTTTACTCATGGGATAGGTCCTGTTTGCATGACCTTGAATGTTGATAGGCTGTCCTGCATTTCACACAGTAAATGGTTTTGTTTTCCCCAGAATATGACGATATTCAGATGATCTAGATTACAATCTGCTGACTAATGCTCAATGTTCTTGGCTTGTGATAATATCGGATAATTTGAGATTTCTGTCCTACATCAAAATACAAGTGAAGTATATATCCAAAATAAAACAGCCTTGTTAGTTTTAGTTCACCAAAAGAGATATCTGCATTTTTTAACATACAAATTGTTAGCCTAGGTCTTATCTTCTAATGCAATTACATGAGTATGATACAGTTATTAGGACATCTGAAACATAATACTGTCTGTGAAAGACTCCAGAACTCCCTTAGCTCAACATAATCTTGGACTGCAAAGGAAAGATGGAAAAATTTGGTTTGAACAATCAATTCAAATCCTGTACTTAATCCAGGTAGGAATTAAGCATCAGCAAACACTGCTATTGAAACCACTTCCTTCATAAAACCTGAGCTTCAAGTGATGCATATTTTGCACATCACAGAGTAGTAACTGCCTTTCCCCATACTCAAACACTATTCTATCATCCCTCAAAAAAGCGTTTAACATTTATTGTGTAGCTATTAACTCCTGCCTCTAAATTCCTAAAATCAGTTTTATTTTGCATTTGAAAATAATTGAATCAGAGTTTTACAATATATTTTCTTTATTGAGAAAATGGACTGAAACAAGGTCTTAAAAAGCTACTCAGTTCAGTGTTTATCCTGCTTAAATAGAATACATATGGTCTTTACCTTGTAAATCATTAACTCCCCCAAACATTCCTAAGTTAAAATTAATTTCTGGCTGCAAAGCCTGCTTCTGCTGGACTTGTGACCCCCAAAATGAGAACAAAAAGCTGTATTTTATTTGGGCACAGACCCCTGTTCTTAACTGCCACGACAGGGTTGAAGTTATTACCTCCTGTCCAGCAACACCTGCCTTTAAGCCCCAATTACATTCAGCCATACCCTCACTACTCCCAACTGATGTCCATGAAGCCAGATGCTGTGTAGAGGAGAACATGTGTGCTTGAGCTTCTCCTTTAAGCAAATAAAAACACCCTTCTTAGATATTTGGGGCTATGGGCACACTTCCAGAAACTAAACTTCTTCATGTGATATCATCACCAAATGCAAGTTATTCCTTTCCCCTGGTGCACACTTATGGCTCCTGATGAGGAGACTGTGGCAGAGGGTGGTGACACCCCTCCATCCCTTTCTGATGAGATTGTTCCAAGTCATTGGGACAGGATAACTTTGGTTCACTTCTCAGCAGGACAAAGCTGGGTTCCTGTGTGGAGTAACACAGAATCAGGAATCCCCCCTGTACTAAAAGTATGGGTAGTCCTCCTGAAGAACAACAAAGGTAAAGTAGATGCATAAAGGACAGTGGAAAGATTAGGATTAGGATAATGAGATATGACAAAATAGCGAGGGGACTGCACTGTCCCTTTCCTCAAGGCATTGAGGGAAGCAGGCATTTGAAGCTTTCTGCCACTTTCATCCTACTTATGTGTAAATATCATATCATATAATGGAAAATACAAAAACTGCAGGTGCTTTTCATAAATAGAAATTGTCTGAAGCTGGATACTAGGAAGAACTTGCTGCTAGAATAGCTGCTACGGATAAAGGGACAGAGAAAGATTTGAGCAAACAAAATAACTAAGGAATGTGCATATTAGATGTGAAAAATTGCCCCTTTCTATTAATTATTAAGACCTGCTTTCACAGTTGACTGAGAATATACAGAGATCGAGCCTCTCAAATGCTTCTGCTTAAAAATTAAACATATAATTTAGAAAAAGCTATTTTAAACATTTTCATAATCACCACAGGCTGTTCCACTGTTTTCAACACTGAGTTACTTGTTCTCTCTTCTGTCTGGAGGCCACAAAACAACATAAGTTTATTACTGAAAGTCTTTTGTAACCTACAGCTGCATCATTACCTTCAGCAAAGGAACATAAAGCTTCCACTGCAACACTGGAGATGACCAGAATTGTTTTACTTGAATATACAAACAAATGTATATTGCTCACATATTAACCCAACAAAAAAAGATTGCAAGAAGATTCATAGTTAGACACAGCATGACTGTCATCACCTAGCAAAACAAGATTATCCTTCTGAACACAACGATTACAAAAACAATATAGCTGGTGGGTAATGCAAAAGCACTTCAGTCATTAATAGGAAGGTCTTTTATCTATTCTTGAATACCTACACTGAATTATGGAGGTATTTCTTCTACCTCTTCTGCACACTTACCTGTATGCAGCACCATTAAGCTCTGGATGAACAACTCCAGGGTCCATGCTGGCCCAATGTGTAGCTGCAGTCAAGTGATCTTTGTTAACACAGTTTTTCAGACTGTCTGGAATACGACCTAAGACGAAGAGAGGAAGAGAAAATAAAAATGTATAAAAATTGTGTGCTTTATATGCTAAAAATACTTGTAAATATTTATGTATTTAAATCAATACACAAAATGGCACTAAGAGCTTGTTTCTGATCCTTGCTGTAGCCTTTTGCCTGGGACTGAGGTTATAATGACTAAAATGCTTTGGTTAATTTTGACTTCCCTGTCTCTCTTTATCTCTTGTATACAGGGTCTCAAAGAAACCAGAATCAGTAAGATTCTTTTTCCCAAGAAGCTGTAATTTGGATATAGAGCATAACAATCAATCAAATCAGTAATGCAGCCTCCTGCTTTTGGTCCTTAACATCACTTTCCTCCTTTTCCTTCTACCTGTCACAGCAACTAAAAACACTTCATGAAAAATAGAGAATTCTGAATGGAATTGTGCTATAAACCTGAATATAACCCAACACTTATTGCCTGTCCTCCTGATCTTTCCCTTATCTAAATTGCTCTTCACTTTTATTTACTGCAATGTATTAATCCTCAGCCATGCCTTTCATTCCTACATAAAAGGAAAATACACCAGAATTTCCTTTCTTCACTTCTTCAAAACTTTTCTTTAACCTCTGAAGTACAACTGAAGTTTTAAGACTGGAAAATCTGTCAACCTGATTCAGCACATACTGGACAAGCCTGTGACTGTCTTTTGCAGAACTATCTCCAGCCCTACAACAAATGACATGAGCAGATCCAACATAGATTTTCTTCATAGCAATAGGAATATTTCCACCTATTTTGACAGGAGAGAGATCAATTGGAGCATGTGTTTCTTCTGACATCTGTTTTAATGTGTCTTCACTGAAGTTCAATCTTACAGTGTATTTGCACAGAGAGGACCAGAAGGAGGTAATTTTGAGTCCACTCCTGCCACTGCTAGAAATGGTACTACAGGAACCTTTTCAAAAACTGACCATACTCCACCATTAAAGAATTCAGCCTTTTGTCTCCAGCTTCCTACTGGAAATTTGATTAAGGACTTCACTATCTTTGCTCTTTCTATCCATCAGCAGGGCCACAAGGGGGCTATAAAAAAGCCTTTTCACAGAACTGCTTCTCATGCAATGGATACCATCTAACAGGTGTAACTCCATGACTTCAGCTGATGTCCCTGAACCTGTCACGTCTCCTGTGCACAAGCTGAAAGGGATTTTGCTCAGGACTGAACTAGTGAGGTACATGGCTCATTATAGGTGAATTCCAGCCATGTAGAAATCATCTTCAAAATGTAGCTGAAATATACATCCATCTGAACTTCTGCCAGAACTGTCCACAAATTTAAACAGAATCTTTCCTCTTCTGATGTTTATCCTTCTCAATCCTGTCTTCCTCTTTGTCCCCCCCGTTCTTCATTTTGCTAAGGCAGTGGGCTTGTTCTACTAGTCTCCCCTCAAAACCCAGCATTTATTTTTTAATTTTAAACTTCTAATGATCATTTCAGTTGCCATGCTTGCCTTCCTCTTATTTCCATTCCAGTGGTCCTCTTTATTTCATACTTGGAATGCTTTCAAGTTTAAAAATACATTTCAGGGTATTTAATCTCTGCTGATTATTTCTACTTTACACATCACAACATCACTGACTTTTAAGCAACAGCAGAAACATTGCACATTTTTATTGTCAGATGGTAGTCATAGCCTTCATTCCTACATTTGACACCTTTTTCCAATTATTCTCCCTCTCTACACCCTCTTTTCTTTGTGCTCCCCTATGGTTTTCATATATCCAGCTTTATCCCACATTTCCTGTATCTTTCCTACATTTGTTTCACTGCAATTCAATGTCATTCTCACCTCCCTAACGCTGGTCTCAGTTTGATCTTACTAAAAACCATATGCAAACACTGAAGTGCTGACAGCTTCGATACAAAACAATGATCCAGATAGCTGAGAGCACCATCACACACTTGAAGGAACTGTAAGTCTGCCTTCCTGGGCACATATGCTTGGGCTACTGCACAAATTTAACATAAAACTAGCTCTGGGTAGCTGGCTCTTTAGTTTTCAGACCATTGCCTATTAATGCTGATTTGCATATCAATCCTCCCCCACACAGGTATGGGATGCTGGTTTGTGCTATCTCTCCCAGAGCTGTCTGGGAGCAGGCAACAGTTATTGAACACCCTAACAAGCAAATGTACCACTGGAGCTCTGGAGGACAGCCACAAGGACCAAAGCCAGCAAAGAGATGGATGGTCAGGCTCTTCAGGTCACCTCTAAAACAGAGTGAAATTGTCCAGTAAAGGACAATTCAGATCAGGAGTTTAAGAGGTGCCTTTAATTAGCATCCAGAAGAGAATCTTCTTTCTGCACAGGCTATAAATGAAACTAAATTGCCAGGCCTCTGTAGGCACAAGCCAGAAGGAAGGCTACTGCCAGTGCTTTTTGTGTAACAGAGCAATGTGTTGGCACTGAAATACTCTCAAGGTGACACAGATGGCCCTGCGTGTCTGCAGAGCATTCAGACAATATCGCCAAGGGGGACACAGCAAAGTCCAACTAAAGAGAAAACATTAGTGCTTAATGAATCATTTTCCAGTATGAAAATCCTTCCTTTTATTTTAGGCTACAAGGGATTCAAACCCATGCCAAATGGCTCAGTCCCCTCATTTTATTTATTAGCAGTGCATGTTCGAGACGTAGCTGTTTTCTCTTATGTGAGCAGTTTACAATTACATGGCAGTTATATAACAAAGACACTCTGCCCTTTAAAATGCCAGACTTCTTTAGCAAGGCTTTAAAGAAGGGAACATCTAAAATAGAATAACCTCCCAAGAAAATACTGAAAACTTTACGTAGAGAACTGCTTATAACAAGTACAAAGGAGCATCTATGAAAAGCTAAGAAAGATACCAGCAATACCAGGAGGACTGGCAGTAAAACCCATCAAATGGGTAATAGTTATATGCAACAAAGAAAAAAGCAGATGATTTTTCACATATAAATACATTTCCTTTACATGAAAAAAGTACTTATTTTACAATGCCAGCCTTCCCTTTGTAATTGCAAAGAACCTCCAAGATGACTTGTTCCAATTCTGAGAACAGACTTAGTAAGCATTTGCTGACTTCTGTGTTCCAAATATTAGAAACAAAACCCAAGGCTGCTTCTTTTCGATATCTTTCAAGACTGAAGAAATAGGTTTCTTAAAAATAACTACAGAGTGAAGGAGCTAATAATAATAATAATAATAATAATAATAATAATAATAATAATAATAACAACAACAACAAGGTGAGTCAGTACCTGTGATCGCCCTTCGGATCTCTCGCGCTGCTTCCTCCCGCATCTCAATCGAGGCTTGTTCACTATACCAGGCTGCATGTGGGGTACAGATCAGGTTTGGTGCATCCTTCAAGGGGCCCTGACTAAAGCTAAATGGAAATTTAAAACAAGACCAAATGACAAAAAAATACTGGGGGGGCAAGGGGAAAGCAAGGTGGGGAATCCAGATGGATTTGTACACACACAGATTCATTTCTACAACACAAAATAATTGCATTTCTGTTTTTTACTGAGTTTGTTTATAATTCTGTCTGTTAATTTAACGTACTATGCAAGGTATAAATAAGCAACAATCACTTTTTATAGATTCAAAGGGTGGAACTTAAGTATAGCAGCAACATTAGCTTCTGTCCAATGCACTTATTGTAACTACAGCCACTGCCACTCCAGTTCTGGGGCAGAAATGCATAAAGGAAAACCCAAATTAATTTAGGATGCCATTCCATTTGTCCAGTTCATCATAATTTTACTTTTTTTGCATTAACCAACAAAGCTCTGTCACTATGACATCTAATCATTTAAAGAAAAAAAATCTTAACAATTTTTTCAAATCAGATGTGTGTCCATCAGCAGACTCAATGCCTTTTGGATAATTCAGGGTATTTTTCTCATATTTTTAACTATTTTTTCTTTCCTATTCCTTTATAGAAACTCCCCAGAAAGAAGGAAATTTACTTTACAGATTGTTTTTTCAGGGAAAGCAATGAATCTGTGTAAAATTGTTATCACAGATACAAAGTAGAGAAAATTAAAATAATGGAAACTTGTTCCTCCTATTTATTTCCAGTTTTAATAATCTTAAGTCAACTGTAACAGGAGAGCAAATATTTTAAGATAAAAGTGTGCTTTCAGAGTAGCTTATAATTCATGAAATAACAGATTTCATCTGTAGCTCAATAAACATTAAAATATCTGGCAAAACTCTTGAATAAAGAGTTGCATGCTGCAATCAGATGGACATGCAGCACTGAAGCCAAAGGAAACTGTGGCTGGAATCCTGCAACTGAATCCCTGCACACAGCATCTCCATGCAGTAAATGGGGCTTCCTAGAGGTGCAATGGGCTGCTTGGGCAGACCCCAGATAGGGACTGGGAAGAATGTATGTAGCTGCAAGTCCCCTGAGCTGCCACACTCTGGCTTTGCATAGCACTACTGCATTGCAATGACTATGTTTAGCAGTAAATTAATCTAGGGTATGCATAAATAAAATTAAGTATTTGCAATGTGGCATCATGCCTCAGTAGATATAAAAATTCTGACTAAAAGGGTATTATTCTATTATTTCAAAGTTTCTATTTCTCCCTCAAGCTCGAATGAGAGACACTGTTCTCTGTCCAGTCTTTGCAAATGCCCTGAATTTGTTCTTCTTCAAAAACTTATGTGGATTGTTCCAGTTAAAAATAACGTTTTTCCCTGCCCAGCCTGAAAAAGGCTTGTCACATGCAAGGACTAAGCTACAGCAGTCTGTTCCCAAGCCTCAAGGACATATGAAATAGGCACATTTTGATTAGGAGTGCTGATATCTCAATGCCAATGACACTTAGGGGAGTGGTAGATTTCTGCCTGAAACACTGGACTTGTCAGTTGTTCAAAAACTCAGGTTTGTGCTACCAGCCCTGCTACTGATAGTAGAGTTACTACTCCCCTTATAAAGGGTAAAACAAAACAAAACATTCACTCTGACAGGCTTCCTGAACTTTTTTTTTGCAACTTCTTAAACATTTATGGTTTTCCTGCAGAGGCAATATGGACAAATGTCTTTTCCTTTAGAAAGGTGTCATAAAAGCAGTTACTTCTCACACCATATCTCAACTCTTTGCCTTTGAAAAAAACTGTTCAAACATCAGTTGCCTCCAGAGCTGCATCAGTGGCAAAGGTGCACTCCCCTCAAAGCCATGGCCAAAGCCATGCCCAGGATTTGAACTCAGGTTTCTGCTATTTCTACTAAATAAACCCACTCTTAGGTTTTTTTTGTTTTTTTTCTTTTTAAGGAAATTAAACCTTGGATGTCACTTTTTTCACTTCTAACCACATACACAAGCTCCATCTACATTTGCATTAGTCCAGTGCTGCACAGATTCATGTTGATTTGCTAAGGAGTATTTAGCTACCAAATGAACGGAAAACTCAATTTACTTGTTGCTGTTGATTGTATCATGCACTAAGACTTAAAAATAAGAAAGTGAACAAAATAAAAAGAAAAGAAAAGGAAAAGCACCTGAATGGTTCTGACTCATGTACATCTAAGGCTGCCCCTCGTATCCTTCCTTCCTTCAGGGCCTGTGCAAGTGCTTTTTCGTCTACTAACCCACCTCGAGCTGTGTTGACCAGGAAAGCCCCTTGTCTCATCTAGGGAAAGTTAAAAACAAGAATGATGAAATAAAAATAAATGAAATAAAATCGTTGTGGCATTATTTTTTACTCAAAAGAAGCATCCATTACATCAAAGGCTATTCAGCTGGTTTAAAACTGTAACAGTTGTCTTCCCTTTCCACTGGAAAGTACCACCAAATGTGATGCTTCTAACATAAAATGCTATTTCACAGCACTTAATAACCTTTTGTTTCTTGTAAGTAGTGTCTTTTAATAGAAGCGTTGTTTCAGATATTGTGCAGTAACATGATCAAAAGATACAACTGTGCATATGAAAGTGACAGATCATTTTATGCCTTTTTATTTCACTGTGAAATTACATGAGACAGAAACTACAGCACATTCTTAAACAAATTCGTATTTTGTGGCTTTCAACTTTCACACAAAAGTCTACATGAATTTTTCAGAAAAATCAATGCTTTTGGATTTTCAAACACTTTTCCCTTTAGTTGCCAAAACACAAGTAGATGTATGCATTATTTATTTTTGTTACTTCAGCTTCCTCCTCTCCTGTGAGACTTTTCAAATAAAGGTCTAAAGAATTCTTCTATTATTCAATTAAAAGGCATGAAAATGAATTTGGTTGAGAATGCTGTGTGCCCAGGAGAGAAGCTGTGCTGTGCATTGTGCAGATTAGCATTGTAGATGACATTACAATCAGTGTGGGGAGAACTACAAGAACGTACACCATAATATATCCACAACTTGAAAATAAAGTGGTGGTTTAAATAAGAGAAATGGTACTGAAATAAACATAAATTACAACATCCTGCTTTCAGCCACCCTGGTACTTCATCTTTGACAGATGTCTCAAACACCTCTGTGTGTGAAGGAAAGCACATGAGGAGCAGGAACTACGGTGAAAATTAATAATGAAAATCTCATTTTGTGCTGACTCCGTCTCTCATCATAAAAATAAGCAAACCCCAACATTTTGATACCAACTCAACTTCATGAAACCTACACATCAAACTAAACCTTAGGTAAATGGATCCTTATGCTCAAATACTGAATCAAAATGCCAAATTCATCAACAAGGTTTGAGTTAGTCAGTTTTGGTTTTTGTTTTGTTGGTTTTTTTTAATGAGAACATAAGGAATATTAATATGCACATGCTTTAAGTGTGTTATAAAGAAAAAACCCACCATATTTTACTGGCCAACTCTAGGTTTAATGTGGCCCAGTCTCTCTCCATTTGCCGACTCCTGGGCCTACAGGAGAACCATCCATTGGCTTATACAGCAAAACCAAACTCCACTCACAGGAGCAGAACTAAAGGATGCTTCTCTCATCTTTATGTAATTAACCTGGGAATCAGAATAGCAAAGAAACTGGGGCAGGATCTTAAGCTGGTCTGGTAACAGGAAGAGATTCCTTATGGGAACGATCACTGCATCTCCAGTTCTTGGGTCATTTGCAGGTACTCTACCAAAACCAGCACACTGGGCTCACCCAGGAGCCACTCACAGCTGTGCAGACACACCATAAAGTGTCCTGGAAGCTCATCTCTTCCCATCTCTGTGCAAATTGGTAATTTGAGGTTTAAGTACAACTTGGTGTATTTACAGGCCCTCTAAAGGATGTGAAAATTTTACTTAAAGTTAACCCTGCTAAAATCTTCTGTCTAATCTGTCCAGCAACCATGCTTGAGTTTTCATTTTAGGACTATTTACAAAACTCCAGAACTAGCACTAAGACATGTTCAAATCAAACAGAACAGGTCTGCATAAATGCAATCTAGAGGGAATGAATTATGTGACTCATGATAAACTGCCAGGGTGGATGCAGCTGGAGATGATCCTTAACAATGGGTGGAAGCTTGAAAGAGCTTCACAGCTGGAACTGCTGACGTCTGTTAAATTCACCTACACTAAACCTGCAGAGCTGCTTTATAGAAGTATTGTGTTTAAACTGCAGTTTTTTCCTCAGATCTGTGTAACTAAAGATGACCTCAGTCTCTTAAGAGCACCTGAATAGCACAAGTTCATTGAAACACTTCTCTGAGCTACTCTGGGAATACAAGGACAAGCAGGATGGTTATACAGAATAATGATTAATTCACTAGAAAAGTTACTTAAGAGAAGACAGACACCAAATTTTCAAAGAAATTTTAAGTTTATGTCACTTCAGACTCAAGAAAATTCAGGGTGAGACTTGACTGAAATGAGATTCACCCTACTTCTCTGTACTTTGTTTAAAAACTGGTTGTTACATGAGCATGCAATATTGGACAAAAATGGCACACAATGCTCTCTAGAAATTCTAGGCCAACTCCAACATCTGTCAGCCTAAATCAGAATATGCTCTACACAAACTAAGCAGTCAGAGGGGTTACAATTTCACGGGTTTCACATCCACTTTACTATCCAAACTGCTTCACTCAAACTCCTACCCAAAGCAAGAACTATCATCTAACACTTTAATTAATTCTTGCTTTGATCATGAAGGATAACAAATAGGAAAATAAATGCTTACAAGATACTTTCCAGTGCAGAGTTTATTACGGGCATTTAATCTCAGATGGTATTACTCAGTTTTAACATGTTTATCTTTGTTTGTTTCTCTGATTAATGCACTGTGCCTTCTCCAAAGCTTCACACATTTCTCTGCCTCCACTCAAAAACTTCCCGTGGTAAAAACTGGCCCCAGTTTCACAATTGCTGTACAATAAAGTGACCAATGCTCCGTGGTCCCACAGAATTCAGTGTGATGCTTTTTGGTTGTAAGTGTCTGCTTGAAAAGACATCTCACCATGTAATAACCACTGAATGTACCCAGCCATACAACAAAAGACAATATTCAAGGCAGGGTGACAGAGCTCTGATCTCTTAGGTTTCATTTTAAGCTTCTTAATTTTTTTAGAGTTTTAAATCCCAAATCCTGATTTTATGTTGTGATGGATTTTCAGAATCCCTGAACTCTCAAATCAAGAAGTGAGCTATATTGTCAGTTTTCTGCCATGATCCTACATGACTGTGGAACATGTTCAGTAAGTTCTTCAGTTCTAAAGTCCAAGAGTATTGGTACAAACTATTTCTCAGAAGACGAGCAATGATTTACAGCAAAGGAGTGCTGCTGTCATTGTCACCAATATATAGACCTACTATATATACATATATATAAAGAACAGCCAAATCAACTATTCTATCTTAGGGTTTCTTTCCTGTACATTGCCTCCATTCTTATGTCTCAACATTTTACTTCTGGCTGTTACCTACACTAAAGTTGGAGTCAAACTTTTCCATTAAGTGTCTGGCTGCTATTATCAAATTTGCCAATAATGGAGCAGTTTCTACACACAGATTTTGAAATGATTTTATTATTTTCGTATTGCCTACAACTTTAGGGGAGAAGTTAGTACTAATTCCTAGAAACGTTATTTTTTCCCAATAATACAATGCCGTAAATGAGCTCCATCCTTCAAGTGCTCTGCGAGCATGGGGACTGAGCACAGGGGGGAGCCATTTAGTCATAATCTTTAAATTGCATCGAAGGAACTCAAACGGAGGGACAACAGTGAAAGGCAGAATTGCTACCTGAAAATACACACGGAAAAGGAAGAAGCTACTACAAGACACAGAAAAACTGCTTTTACATCAGTGCCACTTCATTAAATCTGAGTGATATTAAGAAGAGCAAATTATTTCCACAAATGCAATGTTACTGAGCCAAAAAGACAGTAAAAGCAACAATACATAAGCAAACAGCTAGTTCCTAATCAATTACAGACCTGTTTGAACTTAGAGCAGCAAAAGAGAAAGATTTCTATCAAAGAGAATCTGCCAATTTACAGAAATAAATACTATACAGAGTTGGCAACAAGCACTGGTATGGAGGGCACCCACAGAGATTATTACCTGCTTTATGGTGAAGTCATTAATAAGATGATGATTGTGTTCATTCAGGTTGCAGTGCAGGGTAACACAGTCACTGTGGAACAGCAGGTCCTGCAAAGTGCTCACCCTCTGCAGTCCCAGAGCACGCTCCATGCCATCCGAGAGGTATGGGTCATAGAAAATCACACTGAAGCCAAAGGCTTTGGCACGTAGTGCTACTGCTTGCCCAACACGCCCTAGAACAAGACAAACACACCATGAGAGCAGATGTGAAGCAGCTGGTGTAAGGTGGCCTCCTCCTCCCTAATGGGAATGCTTGTATCAAACTGTAACGCTTTGTACAGCAACTGCAAGGGACAAAACAGAGGCACCTCCCATCCCATCGGAATCATCACTGAGATCAGAAATGGTGCATCTGGACTGCTTCACACTGCCTTGAAACAAAGCAGGAGCTTTGCACCTTTTGTCACCAGATATGTGAAATGCCAGAAGATGTCACGTAATCTGCAATAATCTGTGTAACGCAAGGCTTGCCTGCTGGGCCTGTTTATGGCAAAACACCACATCCTGCCAAGGGCTTATCCTTACTCATGTCAAACCAGCTGGCTTTAATAAAAAGCTATAAAATTAATCCTCAAAAATGGATGCAATGACAGATAATTTGTTTAATCTGAAGTGCAACCATTTTCCATACATGGAATCTCCTTTCTGGTATTTTCTTCCATTTTTACTAACATCCTTCCAGCATTAAAATGCTTACAAGAATCCTGTCATCTAAGGCTTTCAAATAAGTTTTATCCAGCTACCTGAATGATAAATAAACACAGTACATCATATGGCACCTAATTAAGAAGAGTGCAGTCCCACCTGGAATTCACACTGAACTTTGCTTTTTTTATTCCATTTTCCTTACTTTCATGTTTCAGAGCTGTGCCCAGAAGTGCTGTATGGGCACAACTCCATACCACATGTACCAGGAGGCGTGTACTTCCCTTTGACACACTACCAGTAAAACACAGAGGGAAAAACCCCTGAGTACATCTAATGAGTTACAGGCATTTTGAAGAGTGAGAACGAACACACTTTTCAAGTCAGAAGTTTACAGACCAGATATTCACATTAGAGTACTACAAATGTTGGATAAAGATGTTTCAAAAGCATCACTTGACACACCATAATAACAATGCCTAATTAAAAAGAAATAAAAGTCAGCAAGCTTTTCTTTGTAATGTCTAAGTTTGTTCAAAAAAGCATCAGATGAACCCAGGGAAATCCCTTCTCTTTCCAATTGTGCTTGAAGGGATTTCCCTCTGCTTTTCAGTTTCTCTTTGAATAAAATTCAGAAGCCACAGGAAGAAAGGTTTTTGCTGATCACTTAATGTGAACACAGCAATTCTGCAGTGCTTAGTGACAGATGTGCTTGGAATATTAAACAGTATATCAATCTGACAGGGACTGCCTGCTTTTCTTTGGGGACACCAGGTTAGAATACTCTTCAAAATTTTTCATTTCAACACTTGCATGCATGTTATTTGCTTTCCAAGCTGTTTTTATAAATTTGAATTAGAAAATTTTCAACACAAACACTGCATTGTTTCCAACTTTTGGCATGTTCACAGCTCAAGGAATCAGTCACACAACTGTAAACACTTTTTTTTAACAAAGCATATAACTGTTACTCCAGCACCATTCATTTTCACATGCAACACTCTGTCATCTGTTCTTTTTTTACACTCTATACAACACTAATACCTGAGGGGATCCTCAACAGCAAAATCTCTTACAACAGCCTCTCCAGTTAAAGCTACACTCTTCATTCACCCACCCAGGCTAATAAACCAAAATCTTCAATGGGCACAAAAGCTTCCTTCAGAAAACACTTAGGAATCACATCCCTATTGCTAACCAGAATTATCCTATTACAAATATTTTATGGGATAAAACTCTCCAGCAATTCACAATTTGTATTTAGTCTTAGTCACTGAACGAGTACACAGCTGAACACAAAAAATTTGCCAATATTTTTTAAATTACCATCTGACATAAAGAACAACCACAAAATTATGATCTCTTTCCTTTCCTTTCCTGAAAAGCTTCTATTACATAAGACTCTCCATGAGGGGTGGTTCAAAACCTATGTCAACACACTGAGGACAATACAGCACACAAAGTGTCCCACCTTTGGGACAACTCTATGTTAAGGAGCATATCAAATTGTTATGTGAATATTCATGGCTGCTTCCAGGGAGGGGAAAATCTTAAAATCTTTAATTTCTCGATCAGTAGTGTGATAAGAATGCAGAATATCACCATTGCATACAATTGCAAAGAAAGCAGAAAGCAACAAAAGCATATTTTCAAAGCAATCAAAGTTCCAGCAAGGTCCATTCATCATTTCAGAAGAGACTCACAACACCCAAGCCTCCTGTTACAGCCTCATCCATTCACTCCCAGCTCCCCAGCCCAAGTGTCCCAATGTCTGGGTGTGTCTGACCTTGACCCTGCCAGTGACCTGAGTGTGACAGTACAGCAGCTGCAGGTCAAGGACCCTGCTCAGCCCTTGGGCAATGCACACTCATCCCATGCTGGTATTGCAAAGTTTTATAAAATGACCCTGATACCATGGAAATGATGATTACGACCGGCCTGAAGACTTCCATGGAAGAAAAAGTACTTTCATTTAGCAGCTCTTCCCTGCCTGTGCAACAGCATTGGAGAATATGGGTAATTTTTCCTCCTTCCTGGAGAACTCTGAAATGTAGAAAGTGCTGTTTTGTTACATTTCCTGCTGAGCACATTAAGAGAGTCAGTAGGACTACTAAGGGTAGATCATTTATTGCAGAGTAATACCACCCAACTCTTAAGCCTTACTGTCTTATAATACAGGTTAGTAATTTGGCCAAGCATCTAAGTAGGGCAGTGGAACTGTTAAGAGAATAGAGGTGAGTAAAGACAAACTGAGTTATGACATTCACTGTGATGTGGAAACAAATTTATTTAGAAGAATTTCACCTTTCTTGGGTGAGGAAATGCATTAGTCATTAGTCATAGCATTTCTCGCTGAGAAGGAAGGGAAAGGGAGTGTGACTTCACTGCTGTAAAATTATCATTAGAGCAGAACCAGGGCCAGATGTCTATTCATCCAAGTACTTACATGCTGTTGCTCATAAATATTCCTCCTTAAAAAAAACCCTACAAAACCCTACATTTCTAAATATAAGGAGAAAACGTAGTTTTCTGGGGTTTTTTTTAAAAAATGCAGGGGGCTTATTATCCACACTTGTGATGCATCACTTAAAATAGAGGACACTGGATAGTAATAAAGATTACAAGTGACAAAGACAGCTGTTAAATGATGTGATATTATTATTTATGTAAGGCTCAAAGAATCAGATACTTCACAGAGACAGAAACAGGCACGGGCTATGCCCTAAGGAGCTCAGGGGCTAACCAAACAACACAACAATGACGGATGGGATCCAAGGGGCACATGAAGGAGGCATTATGCCATTGAGTCTCTGCTTATCCTCAAGCTCAATACAAGCAGAGGATGAGAGATGGGGTTAACTTTAAAGGAGGAACACAGAGTAATAGGATTAAGCAGGACAGACCAAGTGTCAAAGCAGGAATATGCATGAGAGGAGGGAAAGAGAGTGGGTGATGGAAAGAAGGCAAGTGAGTCACGAAACTTGGCTAGATCAGTGGATAAGGAAGTGAGTAGCTGAAACTTTGGAGACACAGCCATTCCCTAGCACAGAGCTAGGCAAGAGCTAGGGTGTTTCTCTTTGGCAAAGAGAAAAGCCCAGGAGCAGATGTTAAGAAGGTCTGCAGTTAGCTGTTGCAGCAGCAGTGATAAATTTAAGCAACCCACTGCCGAAGAGACCACAAGTTTTAAGACAAGAATAGAGAAACATAGCTGTGGTTGAGAGGAGATGATCTCAGACACACGTTAACAACAAAGGACAGAAACTGAGACAGGGCTACACAGAAACAGAGCAAAGGGCTTGGCAACAGATGATGAGAACTGTTTATTTTATGTGTAATGCATTCACTTCATAGCATCTGGGTGGATAATCACTTCTGACACTGACATGTCTAAATAAGAAACTGAGGCAAAACTCCAGATGTGGGGAGAGGCTACTAGTAAAGAAACACAACCTAAGGACAACAGCTTTGGTTGTAAATACATATTTGAGTCTGAAACTCAAGACAGGCAACCTCTTGCAGTGATCTGTACTAGAAAAGGGTGCACATCACAGCCTAAGTGCCAAAAATGCTCACACAGAAATTCTGGTAATCTAAGTCTACATTTTTACTGTTCATTAACATATAGATTCATAGGAGTTTGTTAGAATAGGCCAGAATCAAACTGTTGTGCCTATTCACATGCAAGTACAAGAAGGAAGAGTGGAAGTTTTCAAAAGTGACTTTACAATTTAATATTCTTTGAAATTGTGAATATTCTATGGTAGAAAATATATAGGAAAAACAAGAGGCTAGAGATAATGACTGGTCAATAACTGCAACAGATGTGTGCCCTTAAAAATCGTATTTTACTAGCCTTTTTAGTGTAACACGCACACAAAAGACTTGCTTTTTAAAACTAAAATGTAGCATTTTGTAAAGCTTTATACACATTTGTTCCTCTGTACTTTTCAGTCATGGAGAACAAAACCAGTGAAACTCACTTAAGAAAGTCAACGATTAAAGACTTTTTCTTTCTTATCTCAAGCCTGAATTTGTTCAGTATAAACACCAAATTGAATGACAACAGTACAGGAATCTCCAGCAAACGCAGATACTGCATGTGAGCCAAAGCTAAGTTTCAAAAACCAGGTATGCATTTCCATTTTGGAAACCCTGCAGGCAACTGTCTATTATTTATGTACAGATGCTGTGACTGTGAGCACAATAATCATTGTGTGTTTAAATGAAATCCATAATTACATTAGTATAGATTTGAGAAAGCAGCTTCAGGACTAACTGCTTGAAAGTCATATTTTAAAGGCAATTCTTTGATTGTGAAGATGGTTCTGGTGTACTGCATGTTCATTGAAATGAGTACTATGTAACACCAGGCTATTTTTAGCTTCCAAAAGTTCGTGGCTTGAGTTATTTGACAGCAATATGTAACTGGAGCAGTCATTTAAATATGATGCTTTGTTGTCAAAATCATATTATTAATTCCTGTGGTTGAATAGGATAGCAATTACATCCACAGTCTATCAGATCTGTGTAAGACAAGCACATGACTGAATAATTTTTATATAGAAACTGACTTGCTTGTTTTTCTTCTCTAGTTCAGTAATAGACAGTAATTAATTCATCTCAAACAAGCCAGTCCATCTATTGGATGTTGAAAAGCATTTAGGGCCACTCAGAGAGGTAAGTAGGTGATTTTATTAGGTCTGGAAACATTTCAAACTTCCTTGCATATATTCTTCCTCTCATTAGAGTTGAAATACAATTTCAGATCCAGCTCAATCAAATGCACAAAATAACTGCTCTGCAGGATGTTACTGAAGCAAAGACTTTCTAGTTATGTAAAAAACGGTAAAAGGAGGAAAGTCCAAACAAAACCAGATATGAAAATGGATAAGGGATAAAACATACACATGTAACTGGTCTGAAGTAGCAGGATCATTGTCCTGGAAAAGAGAAGTGATGATGTCTCCTCTTACAAGCAGTATGCCTGACAGCAGGCAATACGGCAACAGGAAGACGTACAGAAACTTGAAGAATTGAGAGAATATCAGCAATAAAGTAAGTTTTCTGAGGAAAATGGTTATGTCTAAAGGGAAAACATTTGAATTATATAACCATCAGGAATGAATGCTTGACATGGAGTGAACAAATGTTCCACTTTTATAGCTCAAACCTTCACTTTTGTTTTAAGCAATGGACAGCAAAGAGCACAAAAGCATGCACAAAGACAACGTACCTAATCCAATAATGCCCAAGGTCTCCCCTCTGATCCGGGCAGCTCCAGACGCCACCTCCCGGATCTGCTCCACGCTCTGTACCCTCGTGCCTTCCCGCAGGGCCTGGTGCAGCCAGGTGGTTCTCCTGTACAGGTTCAGGATGTGGCACATGGTGGAATCTGCTGTTTCTTCTACGGAGGCGGCTGGCACGTTACACACGGCGATCCCTGCAAGCAGCGGGGGAGAGGATGCCAGTTGCCAAACAATGTTTGCTTTTTCCCATTTAACAGCAAGACAGGAACATGATGTTTAAAATTACAGGTATTTCAACATGTCTTGCACAAATAGTAAGTTTCTGACTGTAATGGCAGGCAGAATACCTGACATAATAGTTGACAACTCTGTGCCAACTAAGTTCTCTGATTTTTTTATTACTAATTATCGTACTTTTATTTATCACAAACTAAGGCAGATAGTAAACAGGCCACTGAAACCACAGAAGGAAAGCCCTGAAGATGCCTGATAGTTTAGAACATGAGCCTTGGTAAGCACTTTACATTTCCACTGAGCCTGGTGTTTTGAATAGACAAGAGAAATCTGCCTTGCTCTCAACAGTGTGGTCAGTGATCATAGTTGAGGTTTAAGTGTGCGAGTTAGCTTTTCACTACTGGGCATATCCTCCCAAAAGTTATCCATGCAAGTTACAAAAAGGATAAAATAATTTATAGTGACAGCAGCTCTTATAAAGCCTTCACAGGATGACTGTTAGTAATTCCCCATCATGTAAAGATAATCATGATACAGGGAAGGACAATCAGTTACACATTGCACAGGAGTTTTTAGAATTACAACAAACAACATCCCAGGCCTTTCCTCGCGTCCCCCACATTAAAGGGAGCCCATTTCATCATCAATAGGGAAATGTAAAATCTGCTTCTGCATGGCATGCAAAGGTAATTTCAAGTAAGTCCACGTTCCTAACAGCTGAAACTAGTCTAACATTAAGTAGCTTAAAGTGTTACAGACTTCCACAGAAAACTGTGGAAGGTGGATTATTGACTCAAGACTCACAATAAGCCTATTTTACTTCAAAAAACAGATGAAGCAACAAGTGATTGTAATTGCATGCCAGTTATCCCATTCAGCTTTTTACCTTCCAGTATTCAATACACAGCAGTTAAGCAAAATGAAAAGTCGCAAAACTTTTTGTCCTTTTTGACTTGTCTCTCTTCAGTCTTTCCATGTACTGCATGTTCTCTCTCTAATCACCAGCTCCCACAAATGTTTGTGTCTCAGTTCTGCTGACTGAGACAACAAACAGCACACAGCATAATTTCATGGTGGAGAAGAAAAAAAAAAAGTGTTTTGTATCCTAAAAACACCCGAAAAATGTTTTCACTGTGTGGGTTTTACATAACTAAATATTCAGTAAGTCCTCAGCTAATGCCAGAGTATCTTAGGAAGCAAAGAAGAAGAATAAACATTATCTTCAAAAACAGCATCAATAGTAACATGACAAATAGTAAGCTCATACTATATTTATCTATGTTTTACATTCAAATGCCTTTACTCTGCAGCCCAGTACTTTTTTACAGCTTTCTCTGCATCACTAAAAACCAGCACAAGGAACTTATAGAACTATTTTTCTTTCCTCTGCTGTAGAGATAAGCCTGTCTGCTGAGTCACTGCCCTTAAAGACTTACAAGAAGATATCCCAGCATCATTTGCTGGAATATTAATCTTGGCATCCTGCTAACATCAATGGTAGCAGGAAATTCACCATTTTTAAAAATGGGGGAAAAAGCTCAACTGGGAGGGAGAGGTGAAAGACTGAAAAATAACATCCCTCTTAGTATCTCACATTAAACACCTGCATTTGTTTATACAAAAGAAGTCTTTTTCATGGAGTGACAATGCAGGTTTTAGATGGCAACGTAAATTTAATAAATGTATTTCCTAATAGCTGCCATCAACAAAATTACGCTTTAAAAGGAGCTTAAAGAATTATATTATGTATTTGAGAAGAGGAATAATATACCTTCTTCCCTAATAGGTTTCCTTAGGAAACTGAGGGAACAAAAGTCAGATAATTTCTCTCCTGAATGGCAGGCATTTATTTTTCCCTATTTTTCTTCAACTTTAAAAGCAGCTCATTTTTGAAAGGCAGAGACATAGCAAACCACAAAAAGCAGCAAGAGAGATGCAAGGAAATGAAGACATTTCATATGGGAAAAGACAGCACATGCTCATCTCATATCCACTGATCAATGCTCCCTTCCTTTTCCCACTGCTTTCAGTGATTTTGTGCACAGGTCCAATGCTGAAAAATGCAGGAGTCAACAGGCATTACCTGGGCTCCCTCTTCACTTGCATCCAGCTACACCTCAACTTCTATGAATTCTCTAGTCAACTATTAATAAAGTGGAGAATAAGCATGTTTTATCCAAGAAACACTTATTTTCATGCTTTTTAAGAAGAAGTGCTAATATAAAATAATGCTTAATAGGAAAAGCTGGCAACAACCTCATGTGCCAGTTCTATGAAAAATAACTCAAGAAGTTACTACAGAAGTTCAGGAATGAATGTCTAAATCTGGTCTAAATCTACATTTTAAAAGTAAATCAAAGCCTTTTATAAAGAGCAGATCACTCTTACATCACATCCTTAAGATTTGTATTACTTACACTACTTCAACATATGGAAGGCTGTCTCAGTAATATTTCACTTCAGCCATTTCACCCAAACTTAATGTTTAAATCAGAGATTTTACTGTAATCTTTCCACCATTTACTGGCTTTTGACAGAGTGCACAACAATATTTTGTAAATTAAGGGATACACAAACAGGCTGGACCCTAACTTCATAACTCAGTCTTGTCACAGGAACTGAATGATGAGGAATGTGACCATTTAACATTTCACATGAACAAAAATTTCCCAAATCAGCTATGTACTCTATCTTGAAGAATTATGTGGCTGCACTTAGGTTTATAAACCTGGGTTACAATCCAGCATAAAGACCTGTAGAAGAGACTGCCAGCAAACCTTCGAAGATATTCTTCTTATCAGGGATTTTCCCCATGAACTGAGATCCTGACTGGTCTGAGCCTTTGATCTGCACCTACATTTTGGCTTTTGATCTAGGACTTTACCCCAGGACAATCTCTCCACACGCATACAGGTTTTCTGAGGCTCACAACACGTGTCTGACTGTGGCACCAGTTAAAGCAGGCAAAACACAGCCTTGCACACTTTCAGCCCTGACCTGCTCTTTTTAAACTCAGCAAGGAGTGGTTAAGGCTCTGCCACCATTACAACAGGTGAGGTTTTTTTTTATCATTAGCTAATAAACTGACCACACTCCAGCTCCTCACTACATCAGTGGCCCTTTTGCTAGGACTAAGCACTGTCACACTGAAATAAATGTTTCCAAGATCTTTCTAGAGCATAATGGGAAACATACTTGGTCTCCACAATCTTGGACAAGAAACAAAGAAAATCTTTACTCCAAGTGGCAGGCTGACCTTTAGATTACAGGTAGGAGATAGTTTAACCTAAAGTAAGAAAAGTACAGATCAGATTGTTGCTTTTTTTACAGTCAAACATCAAGCACCATCTCCTCACAGTTTCAGTAGCTGAATTTATTCTGAAAAAGCAACAGCTGATTCTCCTATAAAATCAGTATTTCTATTTTATGGAGTAGCTTAGTACTAAATCTCATGCATCATAAATAAGTCTCAGACAGTTGATAATGATCTCATTTTTTATTCAAACAGAAGTAGTATGCCACAGTGATGGAATTATATTTTGTAATTGGATTACAGCAGTAGTAGTTAAAATATACAATTGGGGTGAAAAAGAGAGATGAAAAATTATGGCCTTACTCCTTGGGTTTATATTGAGCAGGTGGATTGTCATCCTGCCACAAAGCTGTTAATATTGCTGCTTAATTAACTAATGCTAGTATCTCCATAATGAGTTTTATATTCTGATGGGAAAATTATACAACTTACATATGATGCCACTAGAAAATACACAGAAAACATTAATACAAAGACTTAGATGCTATCAGATTTATGGAGGCAAGTATAAGATGCAAAATAAAGTCTGTAATAATCATACCTAAATCTCCAGCAGATTTGATGTCGATATTATCAAAACCGCTGCCAATTCGGACAATTATTCGAAGTGCTTTAAATTTCTCCAGGTCTTCTCGAGTTAAAGTTATAGTGTGATACATCAGTGCACCCACTGCTTCATTTAGTACCTAAATAAAACAGAAGAAGAAATACTTATTTTATTTTTTTCTTTTACAGAATCTCAGCTTAACCTCATAGACATATTTTCAAGTATAAATGACAGTAAAAGCATGAAATACAGATTCAGGGGTTTTTTAAAGGTTATTTCTCCAAATATCTCCCAGCCTCTTGCTAAGTCTTTTTCATCTGAAGTCTCCATTCTAGCATGCAGGGATCAGCTTCAAAAGAACTAAATTATCTGTTCTTGCATTCTTAATAAGAGGGAAAACTCTCCTCATTCCCCAGGAAATGCTCTGCAATACTGACCCCAAGTACAAGTGCCACTGGACTGCACCTGCATACAGAAGCAGCACAACCTGGGAGCAAACACTCCCACAAACAGTGAGCATTTCATGCTTAGGCAGCTGATATTCAGCTTTGAATGGAGTTACAAAGCAGCATCTCTTCACAAACAGTGGTACAGGCATTCACTGCCCTATTAAACCACCTGATACCTGAACAGAAAACATTCAGTGATCACAAACCCCTTTGACAACAGAGACTGAAATCGGTCAATTCTCACACAGGAACAAAAGTGTCTGCCCCTCAGTTTACTGACACCACAAATAAACTCTCACTGATGGAAAAATGGATGTCACATAAATTGGTATTAACTGAGATGCCAAACTTGACATTATCCAGGAAAATCCAAATGCTCTGAGAAAAAAGAAATTGCATGAAAGCAAAAATGCTGCAGAAAAAAAACCCCGAACTTGTGAGAGCACCAAAAAAGGAAAAATAAAAGATAGTCAGAAGCCCCTGACAAGTTAAATTATGTTAGTGTGCATCCAACCTACTCAAGAGCACTTAAGATGAAGGGGTGTGGAGTAGGGAGAGGGAGGAGGGAGCCACACATACCCAGCAGTTTTGAATTCTGCTACCAAATAGTGACACTGCACCCCACACAGCTGATATAAATTTATTTTTTCAGATAGCAGAGTACTTTCCTCTTTATCTGCAAATTGCACGATTTTACTTCTTCAAAACACTTCCCTGTGCTTGTGCCTTCAATACACTAGCTAATATCCAATTGTTCTACAAGACACAAAACATGCACAAATCATTTCAGTAGCTAAGCCAGCTGTAATGACTTCAAGAGATTCCTATGACACACTTCACATAAAAGTTCTGCAGAGGCTCTAAATTTCTTATTCAACAGACTTTGGGGTCTGGTACACATACAGATTCTGTCAGCTGAATTATTTCTGCTCATATGAGCATTTCCTAGTGTACTGCAAGGTCAGTAAAAATAATCAACACACAATTTTTAAAAACCTTGCAGTAAAGCAGAGTCTTGCACACAGAGGACTGTAACTGCTGGAAGCCAGGAGCTACAGCAGTGTTTAAAAATATGTAAAGAAAAAAATTAAAAGAAAATAAAAATCAAACTCCATAAAAAATGAAAGAAAAGCACTTATTACTGAATACTTCACAAAATTATTTATGCTATTTCAACATGTGTTTCTGGACTGAGAACTTCAGTTCTAATTCAGATAAAGACCAGATTCCTTTGAGCAGAATTTGCATTTACTAGTAAGAACTGCAAAAAAAATTAAAAATTACACATCCTTCAAGAATGCAGCTACAACATAATTCAAAGACCAGCTGTAGGCTCTGATCTTATAAAATGATTACACACACACAAAACTCCTTTATTTTAATGATGCAAACAATGCCTTTGGAGATTACATCCAGCAGCTTCCAATGAGAAAGACTGAACTCACCAGAATGTGTTACCTTGAGGTGTTACACAGGGTTAATAAAAACCCAACGCAGTTTTATTGGGTTTGCTTCTCTCTCTTTGACATTACAGATGGCATGGACCAAGCCTGATGTACCCTACATAAGAAACAGTCCCTCTTGGGATCAGAGAGCCCACCTAAAATGTCCTTAGGTTATTTCTGCTCCCACTAGAGGCTGAAATAAAATTGTTCAAGGATCTCCCAACCTCAGTGATATGGAAATTTTTTCAAATTCAGTTGCAGCACTCGTTGCTTCACACCTCAAGGCCAAGTCATGATACTCTGGTTGTCTCCAACAAGCCATGTCTCCTACTCTGTGTTTTATCATTTATTTTCCCCTGCCCCTCCCAAGGTTGCTCTGGTGCTGTAGGAGAAAACACCATCTGTGTAGGTGTCAGATAAGCAAAAACTGAAGAAGCAGGAACTGAAGGACACTCCCCTAAGGCTCTGTGACAGCCAGTGCCTCCTCTCCCAGACTGGAAAAGGCCAGTTGTGGGTTTATTTTGGGGGTGCAGAGCTGCCACTGCTTTAGGGACTGCATCCAGCAGGGGTTAAAGCACAGCTGAACTGGCTCAGACATTCGTGTTTTAGTATCACAGGGATTCACTTTGGGAAGCAGATTTTCATTTCATAATCATGCATATTTTATTAGCTCAGCCACTCCAGACTGGCATTTGGACTCTAAGAGCACTGGTGTGGACCCATTACAACACATTTTTTGGGCCCATCTAGGTTATGGCTTGGCACTAGGAAGAGACAGAAAAGTACTGGAAAGCTTTGGAATGTGTTCAATAAAAGGGAAAATATTTCCTAGCTATAGCTTAATGCTGATACTAGCTATTTCCACAGGCAGTTATTTACTCGTCACATGGATATGGAACAAGCAAATGCAAGTGACAAATCTTTTACAATTTCTTCTTAGTGACTGAGCTTCCCTAGGATTATGGGCTAGTTAGCAAGGAAATCCATTGCTAAAAATGTAATACCCTGCAAGTGTGTTTTATCACATTAATTTGATAATTTAATTATGTTACTGCTTTTTGCTACTGGACATGTGACCGAAATAGGCAGAAAAAGGCCAAAAAGGCAGAAAATAATAGTAGAAAATCTGAAGTTAGAAACATTCAGCATTGGTGAACGTTAATAATGCCACAGATTAAAAAATAAACAGTGAAAGTTTCTGCATTTTGGAATTATTAGCATTATATTCTCAGTGATTCAATTATAGTCTCAGTGATTACATATATTAAATGCAGATGAGGAAATCTAACAAGTTTTTCAATGAGCAAAATCAAAACTTGACCTAAATCTGAATATAACACGTGAAACTGACATCCAGCATAAATATCAACAATTCCAAAAAATGAAATGATCTTTAGAAAAAAAATAACTGTGCATACAAATAATTCACTGATGATCCACCAGAAGAGATGGATGCATTGAGAAAAATCAGGGAGAATGTGACTTTTCTCCAATGTTTTCCATAATGAACTTGATGGGATTTTTACCAAGTTCAAGAACAATTTTATTACAAGGAGATCAAACCTGTGAGTGAGATAGCAGGCAAGGCAGAAATTCCAGACCTGCCTGAGTAAGTGGCAGTCAGACCATGCTCTTTGATGATTTCCTGAGAGGAAAGGCAATGGAAAAACCTGACAGAAACTGAGCAGAGTGAGTTGTGTTCCTCCAACAGCTACTCCTGCTTTCATCACACTGCAGCCAACTGTGCTCTCTGGGAAGAAAGATCCGAGGCAAAAGCTGAAACATGGGACATGAGTTGGCTTCCTTCTGTTACCCAATGATGATGGAGCTCACTTGCCTGATTTCTATGCCTACATACTTTTTTCCAGGTGAAACTACAGCTCACGGCTCAAAGTCTTTTTCATTCCCTATTCCATGAGCTGACAGCTTTTCCCATCACAACAGCTTGGACAACTGCTGTTCTTCAACCTCAAAATGACTACTCTGCTTTCACAACATGCCAGGTCACCAAGGCTCTTAGGGAACAGATGACACAGTAGTAGGAGACATTTCTGTTTCCAAGAATTTAACAGATCCTGAGTCCTGATTACCCAAGGTTGAAATCCTTTTAAATGTTTGCCCATCTATATTTTTCCTCCCTTCTTTCAGCACCACACTATTTCAGCCATTATGCCAAACATCACACACACCTCATTATTTGGGGAAGAACTCTGAGCATCTTGCTTACTTTTACAAAAACATATAATATGCTAAGATCTAAATAGCAAGGCTTCCTCTTCTTGGAGCATTTCAAGACACTTTTAGATTCGACTCTGAGAGGCTGATCCCAGACACTCATGGATCACATCCAGAGCATGGAAACATAACACAGTACACAAAATGCCAGACTACTTCAATGAAGAGACAAAAAAATTTATAAATTACAAGTGGAATATGACAAGGTATCCATCTTAAAAACAAAAATCATCACTAGAAAGTGCTGTATTTAATCCAATTCTAGAAACTACAAAGTGTTGCATTTCTTGGACTTGAAGTTTGATGTGTCATCTCTAAAAAAAATATGTTCTAGTGTCACCAACAGACTTGATATATTTTGCACATTTGTGTGGAACAAATGTACTTTACCAAAACGGAGTAGGTCTTGCCTTATTTCACTTGCAAAAAGCAGCTGCATGTTGAATTTGTAACCAATAGTCTGTCACATGGGGAAGGCTGCAAAGACTCAGAGCTCCTCTCAAAGCCTCCCTACAACACTGCAAAGAGTCCATGTGAAACCAACACCACTAAAGCTAAAAAGAAAAGCCAGTGTGCTCAAGTGGTATTTAGTGACTCTCCAAAGCTCTGTTATACTGTGTTGCTTTTTACAAGTTCTTGCTTCTCTTTACAAGCTCTCAGCTCCCTGTTAGGTTGCTATGATCCATGGTGCTGTCAGTAACCCACCTATTTCATATAAACTTTAGTCAGCCAGGATACTCTCTAGTGAGGACCCTAAACATTAATACTTAAGTTTATACTGTCCATAAATACAAGTATAAATATTTTACACAAACATAAACAAAACTTACTTGCAGGCTCCTGAAAACACACTCTCTAAAAGCCTATATATCCATACACTATATAAACTACATATATATACATGTGACACATATATATATGATAGTATATTTCTAGTCTTCTAAAAATTTATGTTAAACAATATATACATACAAATAGACTCACAACTACATAAATAAGCTGTGCAGTCTATATACAACTTCCTTCTAAATACTTCCTTCTAATATTGAAGCCATCTTTCCAAGCCAGGAATTTACTGACCATTACATGCAGTTTTAATGATAGAAGTCAGTTTGAGAATATAGACTCTGAAAAGCTTTTTACTAAACAAAAGGCTTCAATGAAAAATCTTTAACGGGACTTCTGTGTGTTAATTTGTCTATTAATAGGGCTGAATTATATCTTTTAAGGTTAATTAGGTCAAGTCTACCAGACACTACAGTGGATTGAGCATCTATACCAAAGGAAATAATGGAGTTATGGAAGTCACTGGTGACAACTCAACCCAGCTTTTTCCAAAGTCTTTCATAAGGAGTCTGATCCAAAATTCATCTGGTTTCAGTACATTTACAAGGTCTTGGATCAGCGCCGAGGTGACAACTTACTCCCAAATAGACATTATTGTTTAGAACAAGGCTGCTTCCTTTCAATCTGTGTTCTTTGAGAATTCAAATCTGATGGAAAACTAAAATGCTTCAACTGCATCATGAATATAAACAGCACTGATGGTGTAAACACAAGCTTTACTGCTAAACAAAGAATTGGAAGCTTGAAAAATTATTTCACTTAACCACTGCCATAACAGGGACAAACCAAAGAGCTCAACAGCACCATTCTGAATTTGTTTGTATCAGTTTCAAAACATTAGTGGCTTTTCAGCTCCTCTTTGACATGGTCTTTGATAAAAATGTCATTACTAGAACTGTTTCTACTTTTAATTCCTATGTAAAAATGTGACTGAAAAGTTTCAAGTTCTGGTGAACAGAAAGCTTTAATTATTTTTTTAACTTAAAACTATAAATATGGAAATGTAGTGTCCTTTTGAAAATTATTTTATGTTGTGCTCAGAAAACAGGAGTCAAAGGACCTGACACATTCTACCCCAATCTCTGCTAAAGCTGGGACACAGGTTTACCCAACAGACTATTCCAACCTCCATCCAAGGACTACTCACTGCTCTCATCAGTGTTCTGGTCAGCTGGGTAAATGCTTGAAGCTGTAAACTCAGTCAACCACAAACTTTATTCTTCTACCTGATTTGCAACAAGATCTACGAAAGCACATAATTACAGAAAAAAGAGAATGAAAAAACGTACTTAGCTTCAAATAAACTCTTCTTTCCACCCTGACATTTTGTTTTAAAGACCATTATTCCTAATCAGCTGTGCTTCCTGTCTTTTCATCTGACTCTGCAAGAATCACTATTTTCTCTCTTCTTGTTTGAGATGCCTATTACCAGCTCTTGCACATTGTTTAAATTTATCCCTCTTGATCTACACAGCACTTCCATGTTACAGAACACACAGCAAAGGTCAGGAAGCCCAAAAAGCAAAGAACATGAACTCAAAAAAATCTTGGGCAACACAAAGACCTCAAGGGTGTGCTTGAGTCTGTTGTGTCTTTAAAGGTACAGAAGTGGAAAAGAGCAGCAATATTGCAGGAATCAGAGTGCTGGGTAGGCTGCCAAGGAGCCAGGAAAAGCAGCAAACTGTGAATGGCACTGAAACGAAGAGGGATTGGGAAAAAGAGGCAAACAGACAACAGAGCATGAGACAGAGAAAAAAGGAAGTTGACCTGGAATGAGGGTGGAAGCAAGCTAAGTGTTTTTAAATAATTTTTTTTTGATGAACAACTGTATTTTTGGCAGAATAAACCAAAACACTTGGAAGCAGTCTTAGATAGTTATTGAGAGAACCCTATTTGCACATAATTAATTGCAAAATAAAAGCCAATTTAAGCACAGCGAGTAACTTTTATAGACAGTAATGCAATCTCCAATAACAAATTTAAACACTAAAATCTTAAAATATTTTTACCCTAAATGACAGAAGTTTTCTGATATGATGCAATGAACCGAACTCCCAGTTATGCCATGATAAGAGTTTGACAAATGCAATGCTCAACTTCACACAGCCATATGCAACATCTACAATAAAACAGAACTTAGGGGTTAAGGGACAAAAACATCTATTGCAGCCTTGTAGGCTGGATTGAAAAAGTCCTGCTTTTTCTAGAGAGAATGGGAAACAAAGAGACAAATCAAAAACCAACAGAACCTTACACATGAGTAAATTTTTGAAATAACTTTGCAGTTAGAGGACATTTATTACACTTCTTCAAAATGTTGGGTCACTCTCAGTAAATGTCAGTATTCATTTAAGCACTGGCAGCCTGATTTTTCAGAAGGAGGGAAATGCATCTTCACCATTCAAGTCGCTTTCTAAAGCAGTGGAACCGGGAACAAATGCCTTGACCTGAGCTGAAGCATAGTTCTACTACATATTATTTATCTGCAACTTTACAACTTGTTATTTATTTTCCACAGTTTAATATCCTCAGCAATAAAAAGTGATTGACAAATGAACTCTTGGCAGAAGGGAACTGCTACAGAACTGCAACTCAGTTACCCAGGTGGAGAAAATTTTCTTGAATGAATGAGCAATCACAGTAAGGTATTTGCTAAAATCCTGCTTTTGACCCTGCACACAACTGGCATTCAAATGGTGGCTTCTTTTCCACCTTTCTTTATGTGTTAAAATCTCTCAGCCTGATTGCTCCTCTAGGAAAAACTACCTAGGCTTGTACTTTACTGTCTCAGAAGCTATGATAAATTCCCCTTTCCACTTGTTTTTTTCCTTGAAAAACTGGAAACACAGTATTTTCAGGCACTGTCCTGTCCCTGAAACTCTCATGACCAGCAGAAATCCCTTCTGCAGTTTCCAAAATGTTAACTTCTCAGACTTTGGCTCCTCACACCCCTGTGATCAAGGCTCCTCACCTGTGCAAGCAGAGTTAATATGGGTTCTTACTTTCTTAGACATCTTTCTGCTTTCACTCCTTTTCCTCCCCATCTGATTCTTGGTTCACATTTTTCCCCCGCCCCATTACTGTCACCCACCTGAGTAAAAAACAATATCAATCACCTTTCAAACCTCCTCCTTAACTTCCCAGCCTTTGGCTTTGCTCCCTGCAACTTCACATTAAATGTATCTGTATCTGCTAGCCTATTCATTCAGTAGCTCTTAATACCTATTATAAAAATCCGTATTTCAAGTAACAGGACAACATCATTTGGTATGGCCACAAATGTGCATTCATAAATACACATTTTTGATCCTGCTTTAAATACGCAAGTCTTAATTTTAAAACCTTTTGTGATAACAATTTTATATTTAGCAAAGCACCATTCCCAAATCATGTATTATTCAAACAGTATTAAATTATAAATATTCCTTAAAAGATAGGTGAAGAATTGTTATTTTTCACCACAGATAAATAGTTAACACTTGTCACACAGAAGTGACCAGTGCTTAACACTTCATAAAACTGATCTCCCAGTCTATGTCAAAGGAATCCAACAGTATGATAATGAATTAAGGTTAGTGACTTTTGTTGTAGAAATTCATTACCTTGCAGACCCAAATGATTTAGGACTGTCTCATCCTTTACAAAAGCAAAATTTGTATTAGCACTGTACTGATATGCAGTGAAAATATATTTTCCTGATGTATTACTGACATCATTGAGAATTAATTATTTTTGTATAATAAAAAGCAAAGGATGCAACCTTTACTGTAATCCCCTCAATACAGCAGTGTTGTGAAGATCAGCAACAGATTACCTATGTCACTCATCAGTTATTCAAATACTTTTCCAAACCTGCAACTGAGAGACACACACTCCATCTCAGGATCTGAAAAGTTAATTTATTACACACCACTGCTAACAGAAAATATCCATTGTTTTTATGTAAGGCATTCATGGCACACAGCGATTCTCCAGTCTTGATGCACCACAAGTAAATGATGTTGATTTTAGTAAGCAAATCATAAAACTATACATGTGGGGCAGTAGCCAATGCTATAGTGTTCACCCGAAGAGAAGACTGCTCTTATCTACTAATAAAAGTAGAACAGCATTTATATTATTTATTCTTCATGTGTCATTTAGTCCTTGTAAATGGAATCCATGTATTAACTCCTAACAGTGGTGTGAGATAGGAAAGCAGTAAAATAAAAGCAACTTCTCAACATGGTTAAAAAGAAATACACAGAAAAAAAATGCATTCTATCACATTTTAGTTCTTGACACATAATAAAATAAAAAGGAATTTAGAAAAAAAAGCTTGGGTTTCCTCTAAATTAAAAAAACCCCATATATTTTCTTTGAACCCTATAAATTAAATCTTATTTTATTAAAAATCTCAACAAACATTATCACTGCAGATCCATTATGAACGAAGATCAAGAAGTTTTCAATTCCACGCAGGTGTTCTCAAGTTAGGTTGATATTCACCACATTTTCCATGCAAATTTTGGGTTAGCATCTGTTTTGAAACTCTTCTGCAGTGACAATTCTCAGTGCACAAGGCTGCCTAACGCAACCTGAACAACTCCTTGGCTAAACAAAGAAATCACAAAGTTACCCACACAGATAATACAATACTTGAGATTTGTCTTTCCAGGCAAAGGCTGAGCAACAGAAACGTTTCCAAGGAGCATTTCAAGATATCATGAAGTAGTATTTTGCCCAGAAGTAACTCTCTCCACGAACCTAAATCAGTAGGGAAGCAGAGGGACAACATCCAGCCAAAGACACACTAAACACAGCTAACCACAGACACTGTAATAAAACGTCACAGCCGACACAACACTGCTCCCAATAACTGAAATACTTCCATTTCTTAAAACACATCAATTGTCCTTCTTAAGCATTACCTTTTCATGAATTTCTTGTGTAGACTGAGCATCACAAAATGCCACTGTGGCTACATCCTTCAGAATAGGCATTTCTACTGTACAATCCCTGCCATCCAGCAGCGCTACCAAAGGGCGCGGGTGCATGGGCCCATTCATGATCGGAGGTCGAATGCCTGCAAAGAAACACAGAAGACTTGTTATTCAAGGCCATGCAAATGTGATTAAAATAGGTTAGAGCTAGTCTTGTTTAGTCTGATGGCAGAAAAAGATTTCAAGGACTGAAGCTAATAAAACAGGAACAAGTTTACACTCGGCTGTCAACCAAACACAGAAGACCCTACATTTCATGGAGGTTCAGAAGGCTGAACCTTGAAAGATGGATAAAACCACTGAGGGAACAGTATACTTGTTTTTTAAAGATACATCCTTACTGCACTAATAAGAAGTGTCTGTGCAATCTTATTCAACCTTTAGGTTTTGATTGGACTCCACACCTTTGGGAGCTCTAGAAAGAGTGAGAAATATCTTGCCCAGGCTTGCAAGAAGAGTGGAGCTTATGGAATATCATAAGCAACTCAGTGAAGATTTGAGTATTCAATTTACATATATAATGATGATTCTACTGAGACTAAACTTTAACTTTAAAAAGCCTACAACAGCAAAATTTTCCATTTACTGAGGATCCAGTTTCAAGGCAAATTGCTAATCTATGTAGGTCTACTTAGACTTAAAAAGTTTTACCAAACAGTTCTATATAGCTCAGTCAAACATAGCATACTTAATCCACCACTGAAAACTCTTACAAATTATGAAAAAATGGTCCCTCCCTAAATCAACATCACACTCAGAACACTGTGGCGTGACAAAGAAATTCACGTCAAATATCTGGGATAAGGAAAATCTGTCCAAACTGAAGACTTAATTTACATCCCCTTTACAGAGGAAAAGTAATCTGTAAGATATTTAGAGAACATCTCTTTAGCAATACAGATGCTATAAATACACAGAAGTACTCAAGGGAATAATATTAAACCATTACATTTACAAAAAGTAGTTAAGCATGGGTGAGAAAAAGGACTTCCTGAGGAGATAATGAAAAGCCAAATGAAGAGTAAAGTACGTGATCTTTTTTCCTCTTTTAAAATGAGAAGCTTTAAGCACTGCAAAGTGAATTAGGATAGATATTTCTTGTATACAAATTTCAACACATATTTTTGTTGCATTGTGCATTTTAAAACATTGCTTATTTGCTTGATAATCCAAGTTAGTCCAACACCAATGGAAATGACTGAGGTGCCCCAGTTAACTTCTACAAGCAATCCCTGAATTTTAAGTCCCAGCCTGAGTCAGAAAGCAAGTCCTGAAAGACTGATATCTGCATTTCAAGTAGATGGAAAATCAGAAGAATCCCAGCTGTACAAGGTATCTGGTGAAGAAAACCAGCTGCTGGGAAGAGAGATTTTCACAACTCAACAAAAACAGCACGTAACTTCCCCCTGGGACCAGCCTCAGGTCTGGGGCTAAAGGAAAGTTCCAGGACTGCTGCCCTTAAGAGTCCCTCTCAATGGCCTAGCCTGAACCTAAAAATTCCAAAACTCCTAACCAACTCAGGATAGCCCAGTACCACTACAATCTGGCATTTAAATTCTTTATCTATTCAAACAGTTTTTATACCTGAAGACAAGAGAACAACAGTCACTACATTTGGTTCTTTTCTGTTCTACTTCCAGAATCTCCCCACATCTGATGATACCAATGGGCTGAAAGACTCTGCAGGACTCTCATCCTTCTTCAGATGGGGAAAGAACACCCACCAGCAAAGTTTTCCATGGAAATTACTCTCTTGCAAAAACACCCACTCCTAACCTCTACTGTGACAGACAAACTTAGAAATGCTTCTGGTACACATTATTTCAGTAATATTCAGCCAACAAAACTATATAGCAGAAATTAATATGCAACTTTTGAAAACTGTGCATCTTGATATTACTATTGATATTGTTTTGAACCAAAAATGGCCATATAACCCTCATACAGACATTTTTAGTAAATAAACTACATGCAAGTAATGTGGTATAGGACGCAAACATTGGAATATACATCAAAATATTTAAGTTATTAATGGAACAATTATATCCTTTAATGGGAATTAAATTATAAAACTCCACATTAAATTTACTTAAAAACATCCTAGGATAAAGCATGTTATAGACTTGTTCACATTTTTTTAAAAACAGTATATATAACAGCATTAATAAAATGCAATTTTGTCTACAAACAAATGCAAAAATAACATTGCAAGACCTCTTTATATTCGTTAGAGTAACTGTTCTCACTCAACAACTGAAATGCTATGGTCATGGTCTTGTCAGTACAGCAAAGCCAGAACTTCAGTAGCAAGTCGGAATGCTAGCTAAAATAAAATTAAAAAAAGAACAGAGAACTTTGATACTGAAGTTGTTGCAGATGAATGAGGAACAATATGGCACAGGTGATTCCCTTAGAGCTACAACTAAAGCACCTTTGTCAACAGCAGAGCACACAGTCCAAACCGAAAAAAGTAGATGAGATTAAAAGTTCTCACTTCCAAGAAACACTTATCTGACTAGAGCTATCTCAAAAAATCATGAAATGATACAGCACTAAACAGAGTCCTTTCAGATAATAACTTCTCTAAAATACATAAAGGTGTGGTCTGGTTTTCCCCTCATGCCAATATATCTAAGATTTCAACCAAGTTACTTGTGTAACATTGGTGCTAAGGGGAATGCAAGACCAAGCCCCAAAGTATAGGAACAAAACAAAGTCAAAAAACAACCAGAAGGACAAACCCTGAGAGACTCTAAGGCTTTGTTAAGAATCCCTAGAACTCAAACACATCCAGTGACCTTGACCACAAAAACCCTACAAACCTTTGCTTGCCAAAATCATTTCTGAACTTCAGCACAGACTTCCTGTTGCACAATCTTTCTGCCTAAATATCCTGCCACTGAATGGCAGGCAGCAACTCCCCACTTAACTTACAGGAACTTCATCACAGTGGCAGCCACTATTTAAAGTTTGCATTTGGGAAGACTTGGCTTCACTATGATTCAGAACCTTTTGAAGAAAAAGCTTCCTCTTCCACCATTTAGATACGTTCTGCCCAGATTTTAGCTGGAAATGTCACACTGCACTGTGACTTTGGCTTTGCAGGAGACCCTTGGAGAGGCAGCAGAAAGCAATGTATATTTAAGAGCAGTATTTTCCATGCCTGCATTTACACTGAACAATGCAATTCTGTGCCAGAGAGAAGTGACTGTAAAGTGGTCAGAAGTGACATGCAACACAACAAATGTGAAACTGATTTTAAAAAATAGGTTTCACTTAGCTGGGTTATTTAAATATTACAGTATAGCATTTCACATTACATAGATAACAAAAATTATGCCATCCACCCCCACATCCTATAACCTTTGTTATGGGAAAACAATCTCAGTTTATCCTAACTCAAGACTTTCAGGAACCCCTACCAACCTGACATTTCTTAATCTGAGCTTGATTTCCAGGGTCATGAATTCGATTTCTCAATGCTTTACAATCTTCAGTATTCTGAGGCAAAATAGCAGCCTGTCATTCCATCCTCATTTCCATGTCTTTAATTTTTCTTGCAGCCTCCTGTAATCTTGAACCAAAGCTTTTATACTTCTTATCCACTGCAACCACTGTAGCCTGGATGGCGTTCAAATTTTTACTAAAAATTAAACACAAACAATACATTAAAACAACGTTAAGGGTCTGACTTGTGCTCACAGAAGGCAGGAAACTCAAAGTTAAAGCTTCTCACTGCATCTGCACCCTTCCCCCTATGGCTGCTGGCTTTCCACCACACCTGCTGTGCTGCCACTGGCCATTAACATTCCAGGGAAACCAGTGGAGTGTTAAGACACACACAGCACCTTGCTCAGGACAGCAGGTGTATTGTAAATACACCTACCTGAATGGTCAGCACCACTCATGGCTTTGCCTGGGTGAGCAGGGATCCAGGGACAGTGTGTGATATCCAAAATCCCCGTGCTGGAGGGCCAAGTGCTCCAGTGGGTACCAGAGATGGAGTGAGAAGCCTTAACTCTGAACTTCATGGTTTTGCTGGGTCTAAGTCAGGCCCTTAAGGTTATCTAAATGTATCAAAGAAAAAGCCTAACACTTTCCCAACAGTTCTAATCCAGCCCTTAGTCTGGGGTTTCTGCCTTGCCCCCATGTGGAAATCATCTGGTGGGTAAGCTCTTATCCCAGCAACAGCTACTGTGCCAGTGGCTGCTGAACTTTTTCTAAATTAATACCAGGTATAAGGTGCAGAGACAGACAGAGCAGCTGTCCTTAGGCAGCAGCTATTCACCATGTGGCTCACAGCAAAGTGCCTGTGCACAGCTGCAGTCTGGACTAGCTCTCCTGGAAAGAAACCTATCAAAACCTTATTCTAGTCCAGCTTTTATGGAAATAAACTTGGGAATTGAAAAACCATTTCTCAGCTGCAGAACCTGGGAGGAGTCCTGTGCACAACTGCCTGTGGGTCCCACAAACAAGGGGATTAATGAGCTCAGCATCCAGCTTGGCAATCAAAACAGGAGTGGAATGGCTGTGAATTATTCTACCTCCACACTTGACAGCATAGGGATTTACAAGTGATCAGACCAACCTTAGCACGAGGTGCATTTTTTTAAACTGGGAAGAAGCTATCTATGGAGATTAGTATCTCCCTCCCTCCCAAATCCAACCTGCATCTCCTGCTCCTTAAACAAAGGTGCATTGTTCGTGCTACACTCCAAGCGGGAAGAAGCCAATGCCATTAGGCACACTCAGCACTGCAGGGTAAGAAAGCTCTCCCTGACATAATCCAGGCTGTTAAAACGTATTTTAATCTTTTTGTAAAACAACCTTTTATGGTACAAACTGGCAGCAATTGAAGCAATCACTTAGCCCAAACACCAGAGATCTCGAAAGTAGGCTGGTACAGTTTACTGACATTAGAAAATGTACTAAAATACAAAGCTATCAAGATTAATGATGAACAATGTAATTTTCACATTTTTCTGCTGCTGATTAATGTAACATCATTAGGCTGAGGAGTGTCTCATATAAGGCAAACATGTTAAAAGTAAAGGACATTGTCAGGTTGGTAGGCCCAAAACTTGACCTACCTTTCATGTCCTTAAATCTGTTTGCAAAGTCCATGTAATTCTTTAAATGTGTTTTTCCTTTTTCAAAACAAAAGCTTCAATTCTTTTTTCTGAAAAATACATCAATGCCAAAAAGCACAACACTTATCAGTAACCCTATAATCACAAACCAACAGGCACATGAAATGGAGAAGAGCAGCCTGACAAGAGAGTTTTCCTGTCACTGGGGATTCTTACAAGTGCAAAGATTAAACAAGGAAGAAAAATCCCTTAACGATGTCCTTTTCAAAGAATTTCTGGAAAAAAAGCTTCCTTTATACACTGTAAATCATAAAAATTATTTACTTTTTTAACAAAATGCAAACTACTGAAAAATCTCATCAATATTTACAAACTCAAGACATGAAAATGACAAGTTGGCCATTCAACTAATTCATAGTCTTGCACATGTAACATGAGACTAAGCCCTTTGGCATTTACCTTTATTTTATATTCTTACCTAGGTGTAAATTCAGTGAGAGCTGTCACTTATTTACCATAAACCCTCACGAAAATTTGCATTATTTTCAAAAATAAATGCTAATATTAATTCAAGGAAAGAATGAGTTGTCAAAACAAAAAAAAATATCCTCCTCATAACACAAACAAAGGAGCTGTTATGAATTAGATTTGCCAATATGCACTATAAAAATTCCTAGAAATCCCATACTTAAAAAAAAAAATATTTTAAGGTTCCTGACTTATATATTTTTACATTTTGGACTGTTTTGGTAGACTCATTGTTTTGAGCACCATGAACTCAAGTTCAAGATATTGAGATTCAAGGTAGAGCACAACTCTAAAAGCAGTCAAAGTTTAAAACACAACTCAGGTACAAGGATCAGTGAAATGGATGCAAGAAAAAAAAAAAAAAAAAAAAGAGCGTTTATCATCCTTCAGTATTTTGATATTCAGCATATTTAGATGCTGAATATGCAACACAAAATGATTCGACCAGAATCTGAACCAACACTTTTTGCCTTCAAGATGAGCAGGATACAATTTCCTATGATTTGGGATGCAAGATTGGAGAGAGGCACATGGGAGAATACTTTAAAATAAAGAACACAAACAAGGGACAAAAAAGTGACAGCCACCCTCAGAAGACTGCATTATGTAGTAGATAAAATTTAATTTCCTCCTATTCTCATCTCATTTAATTCTTCTAACTATATTTCCTAAGATTTTAGGAACCTGCTGCAAAGCCTATTAAAATTTAGATTTTCAAAGTAACAAGATGGACTTCACAGTACACATGCAAAAGCCAACTGAGCATAAGCTGCACTTAAAGCACATGTGCAGCCCCTATGGAAGTCCCCAGAGCTCAGAGGTTAACGCTGAGCACACTGAGACTTTACTGGAAGCACACAGTGGATGAATACTGCTGCTATCTACGCTTTTTATTTACCTGAACTCAGTAAGAACAAGTCATCTTCCTTCTTTTCTTTTTAATTTGCAAGAGACCAAGAAAAATACAAGTGGTTTCCTGTGCTGTGTTGACCCACTGATGTGCAGAGCAGTCACACCCGGCCGTATCCTTCTGCTAACTGTGAAGGTTGAAACGCTCCCAAGAGCTCTGCAGGACACTCAGGGCTCATGCCCTGACACAAAATGTAAAACCCACCACCAGCACTGGGTCATTACCACCCGGTCCACAGCCCTCCATGGGTGTAAGATTTCTGCACACATCACATCATTATTTCACTACCTGTGAGAAATGAGCCCGGGCTCGCAAGCAATCACTACAGCAGACAACACAACAGCCTCAGTACAAACTATCTGAGACAACTCTCTTGCTTGATTTCCCTTTATTGCCCAGAATAAGCCAATGACTTCTGTTTAGAAAATTCCACATTTCTCTGCTGTTACTGGAACCTGAATCATGATTCCTCATTACTCTTCCACACTCACACAGCAAGTGAACTTGCCATTCTCAGGACATTATTCTGACAACCACGAGGACATGGGGTTTAGCTGTGGTTTTTAATAATGATCCCTAACTAGTCTTTTTTTTTTTTTTTTTTTTTTTTAAATCTAGTAATGATTTGTCTAACATCTGTCAGTGTGCACACAAAATCCTAACTGCCTGTCAGGGTACCAAAAAGTAAAATCCCACGAAGCACATCTTGAAAGCCTTTGATCAGAAATAATGTTCCATTAAGGAGAAACAAAATAATCTGGCAACATTTGATATTACTACGCATGTACTTCAAACATCAGTGTGAAGATTGGAAGTACTTCACATCTGTCAAAAAATTACTCAAATTACATATTTGGAGCATGCTGTAAAGATATGCCTAATCTTAACTAATACTTTTCAAAATAAGACTGAAAACAGTATGAATCACACCTATTTAATGTAAAATAAACAAGCAGTAATAGCACTATGCAGTATGGTAAAATGTTTTAATTTTCCATCACCATTTAAAAAGCAAAACAAATGACAATATTCAGTAACAACTGTATCAAGTACCAAACTCAAAAAGTCTAAGTATCTGCAATAAACAAACATAAAAACTAACGTTGTAGCAGTGATGTTTTCAAGTAACAGATACATGAAAGCAAACTACAGAGAAAGGCAAAACATTATAAAGGACTGAGCTCTCCTTGGATGTGCAACACCTCAGTGCCTGTGCACAGTGAGCATTCACCTGTTGGAAATATTTTTAGCTTCATTAAGTAATAACTGAAGAAAGAGGGAGGATAAATAAATTGGCAACAGTGGAGCTGTCCTAGCTGAGTTCACTCGCATCGGTCTCAGGTTCTGAGAAATTCTGGCTAAGGCTGCCAACTCCTGCCAGTTATTCCACAGGTTTTACAGGGATGGTGGAATGCCCCTGCCCACACATGCTGTGGCAAAAGCCACAAAAAACTACTTGGTCACTTACAGGAATCACTGCAGGGAACTTGGGGACGGGACCTACAAATTAAGACCCAATGAGCTTGAGAATTGTGACTCTCAGCAACCACATCTGCCCACAACTATGGCCATCAAACTCCCTGGGACTGATGGGGCAGTGTCTCCAAAATACAAAGCTGAAGGCATGAATCAAGCCTGTATTACAGACGTTCCCACAATCCACCATATGGTGGGTATATATCAGAATATATCTCCACTGTCCTCTTCCCCCAGGACAGTGACCATGGAGCTGATCATGGAGTTGATTTTGGCATCTGGAGGGATAACCCAGCCTAACACGCCCCCAAACTCTGGTTTAAAATACAACTGAGCTTATATTTCAGACCACAAACTTTACTGGTGGTTGGGTGTGACTTAAAAAAAAAAAAAGGCAGAAAATTCCTGCTGGCAGAAACTGGAAAAACAATCTGTTTCAACAATTGCACTAGGAGCAGAATGATTAACTCCCTGAGCCATTCCAGTAACAATACAGATCATGCCAAGACTTATTAAAACACTTTCCACGGAAGAAGTGGTACTGGAGATTTTTAGGGCAATACTGATGATAAATAACACCAGACTAGAACAGGCTGGCAAAAGAGGGCTGTGCTGCACATGAAGTTCATCAGTGGCCCTTATCCTCACTCCTTTACTCATATATTCCATAAAAAGCATGCAACCATTGCCTTTCCATTTTACATCAAGTTACCAGAACTAGCATCTTGGCTGTGATTTTGATAAAAGTTCAACAGCCACATAATGTTAATTTAAAATGTAATTCCCTCAAGGAATGAGCCTTGATGTGCTCATGACATATGTATTTGAGCTATGAAGGAAAAAAGAAGAAAACTAATTTTTTTCCTCTCACCCAAAAATGTTATTCTTATAGCAAGTTATTTTATTCCACCAGGTTTGGGGTTTTCTGCTTGCTTTGCTTTAAACCACCGCCTGAGCTGGAAACATGCTTTGGGAGAAAACACCACTTTTTAGCTTTGTCATTACAACTGCTTTCAGAGTGTTAATTTCACATTATGTTTTAAAGACAGTGCCAAGAATTTATTACAACATAAAATCTCTGAATGTAGTCTGTGCTAATGGCTATGCTCTCTGTGCATTTCTCATATTTTAGATGTTGTACAGGATGCTGTCTCTAAGAAATAAACCAAATAATCCAAGTGGAGTCAACATCAAAGGCTTCCTTTATTCTGATCCCAAACACCGAAAGCAATTTCTCCAACAGCACACCTGTACTTTGACCCAAGAACGTTAAACTACTACCTAGGACACTCCTTATTTTCCTTATCAAAAAGTCTGAAGATAAGCAAGTGTGGGGCCTTGGATAACCAAATTATTTTCACAAGATTTTTTTTTTTTTTTTTTTTATCTTGAGGTCAGTAGAACACGCTCAGATGACACTAAAAATAACAGTATGGAAATATTTTACGTATTGAACACTGACATCTCCTTAACTTTTTTTTATTTTGGGAAAGCATCAAACGTAATGCACTATCCTCTCAGCTGAACATCACAATGCTGTGTGTCAGCAATCCTTACAATGAAACAACAAAAACATAATGTGACTTGTTTAGGGATGGGAAGAAGGGAGGAAAGCTGGAAACTTTAAGACTTAAAAAACCTAAAAACTTAAAAAAACAAATATACATATATACACATACATAGTCCAAACTGCTGAGTATAATTAAAACAGGCCAATTCAACACAGTGGTAAAGATTCTGGCAAATGAGGATAATAAAATCCCGAGTTACACTTCATTATGTTCTTCTGAAAACCAAAGCAACTCTGACAAACACTGAACCTTTGCAAAGGGCTCCTTAAAGCTTCTTTCTCTCTCCTTTTCTGGTTCCTCCCACAGCCCCTGACCTCTGCTGTTCTCTGTCAATATTAAGAAAATGGCTGATATGATTACAAACGAGAGAACAGTGTTGTTGTAAAACTGAGAAAATCTGGAATGTAGTGAAATCAAAATCCTGCACCTCCCATCCAGGGCCCTCTGAAGCTTAAATAATCGAGCTTAAATAAATAGCTTTTTCTGAAAAGATACTCATTTTGAAGGTAAGCAAACAGGATGTATAAAAAATGACAAGCTCACTGAGAACCAGCCAGTATCAACAGTCAAAGTGCCAAATAAAACAGGGAGTTTAAGGCAAAAGCTGGGTTTATGTTATCGTGTTACATTTAATCATAATATAACCAAAGCACATGATGTAAAAGAGCTGTTCTACTCAGCTTGTCTTTAAGTAGAAATTTGAGTTTCAATTACAAAGGCTCTGGTCTCAACATCACAGTTAAAGCTGCACAGAAAAACAGTTCAAATTGGGAGTTATTTCCATGACTTGATGAGAGAAGCA